CCCTTTCCATCTTCATGGCTCGAGATGCTGTTGCTACCTGTACGGTCTTGAACCAATTCTCGTGGCACCACATGGCACCTGTACTCAACATTGTGACCCTAACCTTGAAGGTATGAGCGCACCGCTCCGGACTAAGAGCGTACGGCAAGCACCATCAACATGCAACTCGCATCGCAGCGCAAAGCTTCGGTCGCATCCCTGGGCACGAGACATTGCCGGCAATGGGCCAGGAGTCGCCACCGCCGGTGCCTCTGGCTGCTTTGGCCTGAGACGACGTAGAGCGAGAGAGAGGGAGAGGGAGAGGAAGGGAGAGGAAGGGAGAGGAAGGGAGAGGAAGGGAGAGGAAGGGAGAGGAAGGGAGAGGAAGGGAGAGGAAGGGAGAGGAAGGGAGAGGAAGGGGGAGGAAGGGAGAGGAAGGAAGAGGAAGGGAGAGGAAGGGAGAGGAAGGGAGAAGCGAAACAGCAAGCATAGGATAGCGCAAGATAGCACGGGCGAGTCTGGCCCTTAGACCTTCAGACTGTTGCAGCGCTGTGGCAGAGCTGGCAGAGCTTAGTATCCAGCTGCTCCTCCTCTTCTGCCTCTTTGTTCTTTCCTCCCTTGCCCCCTTTCTTCTTTGTGGCCTCACTGCCAATTTAGTTGCGCAGAGCAACGATTGCAAAAGTAGCGGCGTCTGTGTTCGTAGCTGCAGAAAGCAGAAGCGTGTGAGCATGCACAAAGATTGCTAGGACACTGGCACGGTGCTGCTCAATGAAGGCTAGAATTCCATCCTGCCCAATGGAAGCGGGATTCAAAGAGTTGCAGTCTGTGGTACTCTTTTTCAGGCGGTCAAGCGGCGCAGTGTGCACGTATCGAACATCACCCCAGCTTCGATCTGCTGCCTTGGTCCGTGTGGACTTGAACTCTCCATCGATGGGAGAGTGCTTCTTCCCCTGAAATGCTCACACATCTCTGAACTTCACGTTGAACTTCACAACACTCTTACAAGAGATCAGCCTTGGCATAGAGCTTGAGCGTGGGATAGCTCTTGATGTCCGCGGAGCTATGCTTGTACCTACAGATGTCTCTCATCTTGCGGCCGCAAGAAGCAGACGAAAAGTGAGCCTCATAAGGCACCTCAACATGTAAGGCCTACTCCCTGTTTCGAAATTCGAAGGTTGAGACAATGGCATGAGAGGCATGTTTCAAGAGGGGCCCGGGGCACTGCGTCGCATCCATCTTCCTTGGTCAGAGTGTGCATGGACTTTGCAGGCCGGACAGGTGCAGTTTCAACCACCTCAAACCAATTTCTCATTAAAAGCCTTGACTGCGGACAAAGAAGAAAAAGCTGGGAACCGCGAAGCCAGGGCATGGAGGGGATCCGACCAGCAAAGTCTGGCCTCGTGTGCAGCCGAGGCTCACGATCGCCACGCCATCGTCTTGTGCGTAGTGTTGGGCCTCACTAATCACCAACACTTACTTTGAATTTTTGCGATGTCGATCAGCACTTAGGTCAATTGTCGAGTTCCCCGCCACCAGCTTGTACTCTGGAGCTAACGCCTGTCCAGAAGAGATCTTACTTCGGAATCGACCACGACAGCAACCAAAGGAAACAGGCCTGGCAACCAGGTTAATACCAGTCACCTATAGCGCACGTGACAAACTAATGAGTTCCGGCTACTTGCCACACTTGCCCCGCTTGCCCCACTCGCATCATTCCCCCCCCCCCCCATGGTTATTGACGCGAGTCTCATCATTTCTCCCTCACAGTACGGGATTTCCGGCTGCCTGAGATGCATAATGTTGCTGGCAATGTCAATTAATGTTCCATCTGCTGGGCCCACAACGATTGCTCACTATGTCCCGGCGCTACTGGGGGGGTTGTGATGGATCGGCCTTGCAGTGGCCACACCAAGGTGCGTAGAACTCGACCAAGACATCCTGCTCAGATGCGCAAACACAGGTCAGCAGGTTCTGTGCAGCTTACGGATGCAGGTATATGCAGGTGCGCACTCTTCTATGTACTTGTACAGACGGCCAGGCCAGAACCATCACCGGAAAACTCCGCAAAAAACTGAAGCGACATAGCACCAAGTGTTTCATCGCTTGGCGCGCAGTTCGACGCAATGCGATGCATGCCGCCTTGTCATTATTGATGACCAAGCTGTCAAAGGTGTCGCTCGTGACCGAGACCACGGGATCCTGGCTCGAGTCTCGAGCTGCAAGTTGCATCAAACTGCAGCCTGAAGAGGACTCACACGTCAAGCATGAATCGTATGTATAGCGCGTTTTATTGGTTCTTCTAGAGGCAAAAAACAACAAACCGAATGAGAGAGAGAGAGAGAGTTAGAGACACAAAGGGAGTAGAGATATGCATAAACGAATTGAGGTCTTTCGGGCTTCTTGGTTTATGAATGCACGAGGCGACTTTGTACATAAGCTGTGAATCCCCAAAAAAACTTGGTTTTGGTGGTTTTGGGCTGGAGTCTCTAAGTGATCGCCCTTGGAAACGCGTTGCCCCCTGTGTGACACAGATCTGTAACTTTCGGTTGTTCTGACCAATGCCCGGAACTCAAGGGACGTAGAACTGTGCTGGAAGGGCTAAAAGCTTGCCAAGAGTGAAGCCTGGCCTAGGGGCCTAGATATAGCAGCCTTGCCGACAAGACACGGTTATAGAGTGGGGGAGGTCGAGCCGCGCCTTTTCCGCTGAGAGCTGTCCCTGCTGCCAGTTCTCGACAAAGGCCTCCACTATGGCAGTGAGTGGAAGGCAGGGAAACCTGAAACTCCTGCATGGTCCTACACGGAATCCTTAAGAACGCCCTCTGTAAGCAACGCCTTTCAAGGACATTCCTTCGAAAGTCATTTCGACGTTGTCACAGTCTTCTCATTGTTTCTCACGGCTGCCCGCTTTCTCTCGAGAAGTGGCCAAAAAACATCTTGGACTTGATATGATGGGTTCTCCTGCAACCTCTCACACAAAGTTTGCCGTCCTCATCGTGATGCTGGCGCGGGCTGTCGTGCACTTAACCCTCTTGCAGAAGCTATGGCACGCCAACGCGGGCCAGACTTCCTACAGTGGTGCTAGGTCTGTCTCTTTCGTGCTGCTCCGAGTCTCACTGCGTTGTCTGACTTCTGATTGGCAAGCTCTCAGCACATAACGAATCATCAAGAGCCTATCTTTCTTCAGAGGGTTGTGCTGGACCATTTGGCCCCGGTTCATACCAACCGCATCCAGCGGTTCTGATTTGAAAAAGAAATGAGCTGAAGCAAAGGTCGTGCTCTGCAACCAGCGGCCTGCACCGCATCGCGCGTCAAGGCCGTGTGGGAGGATTGCTGAGACAGCCGATACACCTTGGTGCGTGGCAGTAGGGCAGTCCTGGGATTCAATCTAAGCGTCTTCCTTTTAGGAAGCAAAAGCCCCCGCGCTTTGCCTTGTCAGCGTCCTCCGACTCACCAAACTCCCAAATCGCCACCTTCACATGCCAAACCCTCATCCTTCACCTTTATGGCCTTATGATTAGTCGGTGCAAGCACAGGTTGCGACAACTTTGCGGTTCCATGCGCAGCACACACAAACGCCGCAGTTGAGCAGCACTGCCCGCACAAGCTGCCTCTGGAAAATCCGCGGGGGTCAAGCCAACCTTGCATCGTCTCGAGCAAAGTGAATATGAGAAGCTTGGAACTTGATTGGTTCAAACCATAATGGCACCAAATGCCTATGCGGTCAGTGTCGGAATGTGAGGCCATGGATCTACTTGACACTCGGCATAAGACCGGGCTGGTCCCATCTTCGTATGTCATATTTGCAATAGTATACCACCAACACTGGGGAGCCGCGCATTCTTGCCCAAACTCTCGCTGAACTGGCCTTTCTTGAGGTGCACCTCACGTGGTTTGAAATGTATATTTATTCATCGGAAATAGGCTCGTGTTTCCGGAAACCCCAAACTGCTAATTCAAGCAAGATTGCAAGGTTTTCTTATGACTTTTGTCAAGGGATACCGGGCTTGGCTTGAGGGTTTTTCAAACATATCCTGGATGTGGTGAGTTCGTCGTTGTCCTCGTCGCGGTTGCTGTGGTCGTTGTCTGTGGTTGTTTGATGCTGGTGTGGGGTCGTCGCTGTTGATGGTTGGATGCCGCTTCGTCGCCTGGCATCCTGCTCTCCACTGCAGCCGTTGTTTGGAATCTGCGGCCCGGGCCCACTTGAGCTTCTGGTCTTTGCGGAAGGACACTGCTAGTTCCTGCCATGCCAAAGCTTTGCTAGCAGCTCGAATGCTTATGTCAGTCGCTCGACGCTCGAGTTCAAGATTTACGGCAAGCCGCATGCAGATCGCGGCGGAGCTTCTCGTCTTCGCCTCCAGTAGATGGGGAATGCCAGCTTCTGCGACCGGAACGGCTGCAGCCCAGCTTTGATTTGACTGGCAAGATCTTGAGCGATGTCTGAAGGACCGCACCGAAGTAAAGAACCAAGCCATTCCCAGGATCGATGTCCTGTAGGAAAAACTTCTCCTGGCTTGGCCCGAGCGCGCAACTGTGGGGCACAATCGGGCACAACTCGGCATCACTGCATAACTTGCCCAAGCTTCTGGAGAGAAAGCCACGCATGCGACGTGCGACACTTGGGTCCGCACCGTTTGCTCCGATCCTGGAATCAAAGCCTTGTCGGGTTGTGCGGCTCTACGGACTTCTTACTTCGCTGATCTCGGGGCCTCGGATTGCAACTCAGCTTAAGTAAACCCGCTTTGGCATGGAATTCATCACAGTTGCAGCAATCGCGTGCAGGTGGCATCATGCGACGTCTGCCCAAACAATTTTCCATTGGCCCTCGCGCAACAAGTGCCAAGACGACGACGGGCACCCGCTTTGAAGCAATCCAGGCCATCAAGGACTCCTCGGCATGCGCATGATCCGAACCATTCCCGAGCTTGAGTTTATAAGGGTGTTGGTATGCAACCGGGTTCCTTCTCGAGACCTGTCCAGGCCTCAAAGACCGCCTTCCACCCACCTCCCCCGCGTCCAATTCAAGCACAGATGGACCCGATAGCCATAGGACCGAGCGAAACTGTTGGGCCAGCTGCTCTGCGGTGTGAAGACTAGCACCTTTGCAGACATGCAACTCAATGAGCATGCAGCCTGATGCTCGGGGGCGAAGCCTGTCTCTACTCGCTGCCAGTGCGAGGTTCTGCTCGAGTCAGCACGTTCCCCAGACTCGCCTTCTCTTCGAAGTCGAAGCTGCGCAGAAGAGCAACCTCACAAGAAGCTCATAAAGAGTTGGGTCACCTGGCCATATGGGTGCGAGGACTGCTATGAGAATCTACGAGACCCAAGCAACCGGCGCAAGGCAGCTTCTTGTCCCCAGAACCTGTCGATCTCGAAAAGAGACTGGGAGTGCGCTCTTTACAGTGCCACCGTTCCTGCACCACCACTGCCCGCCTACCTTCCCTCCCCCCCGATTTTGTGCCCTTGTATGCGAAGGGAGCAGGGCTCTCAGCCAGCCTAGACTCTTCAGAAGCGCAGGGCTCGCCGACTCCACGATGCCGACCGGAACCTCACCTGGTTGGGGGACAGGCGAGGAGAAGGGGGGATGAAACAAGGATGGAAAAACCCAGAAATCTTCGTAAGTTTCAGGGAGAACCAGCAGAGTGTGGCAACACCGTGAAGCCACCGCAGGATCCGCCTTACCCACGGGGGCTCGAGCATGTAACGAAATGCAGAGATACAGAGTGGAGACCCTAACCTTAAACCTGGCATCCCGAAGCCCCAAAGCCCAAACTAAACCGCTAATCAGACCCAAACGCTAAGTTGCGCCCGAGGGATTCTCGGTGGTGAGAGGCCCGGTTTTAGGAGTACAGCACATTACAGCACACCGGGCGAGAATAACTGAGTCATTTTTTGCAAAAATCCTTACGGCCCTACACGGAGGGTAAAGAAAGCAGCTATAGTACGCCTGTCTGGGATCATGCAAGGTGTCAGTGCTATTTTGGTGAACAAACAGGTTTTGAGTCTGCCTCCTCTCAGTATGTTTTGAGAGTCTGTGGCGGTGCCCTGCACAAGCCAAACACTTCTCAGCTGTGGGGCGTAGGTTGGTACAGCATGATGCCTTGCATTGGTAAAGCATGGCAAAAGCTCTGGCCTGCAGCATTCGAGGGGTTCAAGGCGAAAGAGGCGTCCTCTGCAATTTACCAGCAAAACCCCCGCACAAATATGCACAGACCATGCCCGAGCGTGCTGATCACAGCGATCACAGCCCCAACATGATCGACTGGCAACTCTAAAGATCCTAGCGAACAGTTGATGTGCTCGATTCTCCCAAGCAGATCCCAGCACTGCTGTGCCTCCAACACTTGAAGCAAAACGCTGCTCTCAACCACGCCCTCCAGCAGCCTCCCATGTCAGCGACCATACGCCACAAAACCAGTGTCCTGGGCCTTCCTCTGCCAGATGCACATGCACAGACCACAACGGTTGCAACGAGACCGGCTACGACACTTACAGCATCTTACAAGACTGGCTTGGCGGACCCGAGCACCGCCACGGGCTTCTGGGAGGACCAGGAGGCGATCTCATCGGCGGATACAGGCAAGCCTCGAAAATGCAGGAGTTTTATTCCCCCTCGATGATTGCTAGATTTCCCGGTCTACCCCTCGCTCATCCCTGGAGTGCCCAACCCCAGAGTGTCCCTGGAGTGTTTCTGGAGTGCACCCTAGAGTGCAGAGTGTCCCTGAGTGTCCCTGAGTGCCCAACCCAGACTCCCCGACCCCAGATTGTCCCTGCAGTGCCCAACTCACCAGAGACTCCCTAAAGTGCCCAACCCCCCCAAACCCCAGACAGTTTGTCCCCACAAGTGTCCCTGGAGTGCCCAGTGAAATAGGTATGGCGTTTTGCGGTGTTTTCAAGAGTGTCCCTGCAGTGCCCCCAACCCCAGTGAGTCCCTCGCTCAACCCTAGCCAGAGTGTCCCTGGAGTGCCCAACCCCAAACTGCCCCTGGATGCCCAGTGCCAGGGTGGCCCTGGAGGGCCCAACCCCAGACGGCCTCTGGAGCGCCCACCCCCAGAGTATCTCCACCCAGAGAGGGTGGGGATGTTCGAAGTAAAATAATTTCCTACTGCAGCATCGATCTTGCTCTGCGCGTTTCTGCTCTCCTCGGTCGCTTAGCAGGCCAGCTTCTAGGGCGAGCATTGCCATGACCCCTGACACTGCGCAGTATGCGCGGTATGTACACTGCATGGACACAAGCGCTACAAGGCGCCGCCACACTCAGACTCGGCACATCTCGGCACAAAGTCCCAAAGGACCGCGGGAGATGGCAAGGGATGTTCTCATTCCAGCAACGACTGCAGGGCCGATGCCGCTAGACCCAACGCTGCCAGCGGCTGCCCCACAGCGCGGAGACCGCCGAGGAGCTGGGTTTCGGACTCGGCCCCCGCCATCCGTTCCTCGGCTGAGGCCACCTCCACGATGAGGGCATAGAAGGCATCGGCATCTCCACGCGAGGCTGAGGGCGTGAACTTCCAGCCTAGGTGCCGCCCCTCACAGCGGCCACACACCAGCACGGACCATGCATAGCCAGGGAACCAAGAGTCCAGTGCCTGCTTCTTTGGTACCTCGAGGACATGCAAGTCCGTGAAGTCCAGTGTTCTGAGAAGCACCAGCTTGAAGGGCAGCTGGAGCTCTGATAGTCGAGCAGGCTGCTTGAAATTGTAGAGATTAACTTCCATGCCCTTGGCTTCGTATTTCTCCATCCCTAAGAAGGAATCTGCCTGCACTGGCTGGAGGGGAACTAGGTTCATCAACGACAGATCTAGCTGTTTCTGCGCGGGGCACTCGCAGCCTTCACCGGCACACTGGGACATCTGGGACATGTGTGGATTCCCGGTTGCCGAAATGGAGGCTTCCCGTGCCCTGGCCAGAGCGCAGCTGACCATGGCCAGCACCCAAGGAAACTGCGCCATCGCAAACGAGAGCGGCATCCAAACGACGTCACCAATCTTCAAGCTCGAGCCTGAAAGCGGCGCCACGTTTGGGATATGCTCTGCGGCCAGTCTGCACCAGGAGTCACTCCTACATGAGCAGCGTGAGCTGATGGGTTGATGTGTCGCTGAGCACAAAGGTCCCCACGCTGGACCAGCTGTTCGTTCTGTTTTCCCTGCGTGCGGAGTCCAAGTGCAAACTGCGCAATGAGTCTGGGACTCGTAGACGTGAATTGGATCAGGGTGCTGGTGATGACAAGTTCAAGGTCCAAATGGTCGCAGCCCTTCTTCCAGCAGAAATTCTCGAGCGCCCGGCATCGCTGCACAAGACGTGCCTTCGCCCACTCTGCCATTTTGGCAGCCGTGCGCGGACCTTCGTACTTGACGGACACCTCCAAAGATGCTGGAAACGATAAAACTGAAGTTTGCTGATGATGGATAGATGGCCTTTGGGGGTGAACATGGAGTCGCTTTATGGGGGCAGTGGCCTTACCAACTCGATTCAGGAGTGCCCAGCTCCTGGCTGGGCTCGACCGGCAAAGAGCGAGGTCCCTGTAGGACTCATCTAGCTAACCCATGTCAAATGTCTCCTTTGTTCTTGGATTCTGCTGCATTCTGCTCCGCAAACGCACGGAGACATGAGATGGAACTGCTGACGTTCTCTTCTCTCATCCTGTCCCATGAGCGGCTTCTAACGTGAAACCCATGTAGAATGAAAAAAGATGTGCACAAATGTAATGGATATATATATATATATATGCACACACATACGTGTGTGTCTATACATAGTGACAGAACAACATCGACTACACAACCTGATGATTTTAAATGGCTTGGATAAGCTCATAGTAGTTACAATGCACAAGCAGAATGACAACAACAAGACGGCCTGTCAGCATCACCCCCACCACATGAAACGAATTATTGAAGTGAACACAACTATCAGGCATCTGGCCTTCGGGCTGCCTCTGAACAATCTCAGAGTTGGGAACGACCTGGGCCGAACGCTTAGGTCTGTGGCCAGCAATACCAAGCACAATGGTGACGATCATCGACTCAATACTATTGTTCCGACACGTATCCTAGTTAACTTTTCAGCGAGACGAAGCAACGATGCCTGAGCTGCACAATTATAAGATTTCCGCCGGCACCAGTCTGGCTTGTTGTCAGCTCATACTCTTGATCATGCACCCTCGTGGTTTGCAAACTATGAACGGGCGGCTGAGGGCGTAACCTTGAGCCCTCTTTCATGTGTGCAGCCAGCAGACCACGTGTGATCACACAAGACTCTCGCGCGTCCGCTTGCATGCCACGCTCGTGCATCCAGAAGCGCGTGTTATAATGTAATAGGCTGGAAACTGTTAATTATTTCTCTAGCAAGCACTGTGGGGTTCCGAACGAAACTGTTTCACCCCCCGCGTGTCGCTCGCGGCACCTCGAAATTAATGTGAACGTTCTCGCGCTTCAGCACCCCGCGCACCCGTGCGTAGTGCGAACGATGGCGCCCTCACAGAGTTCGCCTGTGTCGATCAACATATGGATGTCCTCTGTGTCCTCGTTGTGTTACTGGGCAGATCGCACAACTCTCGCAAGGGGGAGGGGAAAGGGCATGCAGCGCGATCCCTCTTTCGAAGCACAACTGTCAAAAAGCAACAACTCAGGTGTCCCATAGTCCCAATCGGTCCTCTGCACAGTCTAGCATGATGCAGATAAAATGCAATCTTTCTACAGCTTTTCCCCCCTGAAACTAGGACTGGGGCTGCACCTCGTGCTGCTGGGCCAGGGCCTTCTCGGCAATGGAATCTACCTGGTTTCGGGTTCTGCTCCGGCTCCAAAAAAACCGAAGTGGCCATATGGGAATAGAATCTACGGGAAAACCCACAAAGAATCGTAGCAAGTTCATGATGCCCCCCCCCCTTCTTGCTGCTTGAGGGTTTCTGACTGTATTCTGGCACGGGTTGCCTGTTTTGGGCTGTTCTTGCTCTTCTTGCCTGGAGCAGGTTCTCACAGCCCTCAGCAATGTCCCAAGCTGGCCTTGGCAACCAGGATCCCATCATCCTGGCAGAGCTCCGCGGTCCTTCAATACCCATGCTCTTTTCTCTCACACGAACAAATCTTGTTTTTCGTCTCTGTGTGTGTGTTCTGGAGTTGTGGTGCCGAGGACTGCCGAAGGCTGGAGAAAGGCTGGAGTAGGCTGAAGGAAAGAGCACGATGCACGTAGAAGGGAGGCACGGCTCCGGCCTTTCCCATTCCGGGACGAGCTTTTTGCAATGTCCGCCTTGGGCAATGTCTAGCAATATCCGTCAGCACAAGCTGCGAAGTGCCTTAGGGCAGCTACTCCACCTGCATCTGGGACCTCTTGTGCCGCTTCTTGCCACTTGGGGGCACACACCAGGGAGCGTAGAACTCCACGAAACTCAGGCTGCCAGACCTGGGCAGCAACAAAACCCACAAGGATGACACGAAGACGGTAAATATATGTTGTATGTTAATCGAGGCGTCAGCCGCGTGATGGCAGCCGAGAAGTTGCTGCTGCCCAGGTCGTGCACCTGGAGTGCTCGTGAACCTTCTTGCGAGGCTAGCCCCTCTCTCCTACATACCTCACACTACCTCAGCTTCAAAAAGGAAACAATGAAGCCTAAGACTGAAGCCCAGGCAAAGTGCCTGACTATGGCTGCGGCTGTGCCATCTGGAGTCGAGCCGTGGGCGCCAACTGCCTCGGAGAAAGGTGTGTGCAGTTAACGAAGCGCAAGGATGTGCAAAGTAGATTGGTCTGTACCCTTCCTGCTCTCGCTAACACCGAGATGTCCAACTGTCGCGACCAACGTCCCTTTCCGAATGCTAGCGCCTGGATCTGTCTCGGCACTATCACCATCTCACCGTATATCACCCGTATATCACAATCTACCACCATACTCACAAATACGCGGATATCCGTAGCAGCACCTTGAATCGCAACTGCCAGGAAGCTGAAGCCACGGCCAGCAGCAAGAGGGCCACAAGACTGCCCGATGCCAGACCCGAAGAGTCATTTGATGACAAGCTGACACGGAAGCCGAAGCAAGGCCCGGCCTCCAAGTTTTCCTGCGCCACTCCCGTGCGTGCACGGTCCTGATCGCTGTGCCAATTTTTCAGCCGATGCCAGTATACAGCAACAGCAAGGGTCCGTAGTTGCAGAGTGGAGAATGGTGGAAAAATGCCTTCCATGCTTCTGAGACCTGTCTACCGGGTCCCTGACCACATCTCCTTGGACAGGAGAGGGCCCGGCTGCAAAGATCAGCCTGAACAGCAGCGTAGCCCATCGACAAAAGCCCCTGGAGGCCCAAGCTAAAGCTAGGATCCACTCCAAACAAGCCGCCTAGAGCCGCCTAGAGCCGACTTTGCCAGACTCACCACATCACGGTTTCCTCACTTACCCCCTGCCTTTGAGGGCGCTTCGCAAGCTCCCTCTACAGCGCCATCAACAATTCGGGGTGAATCCCCAGTCTAGACTAGAACCCAACGGGAGACACGTGTAAACAGAGGCTAAACTTGCGCTTTGCTGCGGAGTGTGGTATGGATGGTGTGGGCACTGCCGGGGTGTGGCGATGTGCACTTTTGGTATGCAAGTCTGTCTGGACACTTGGCTGCATGAGCACAAGCCGCCGGAACGTGTCAGAGCACGTGTAACACGTATGGCAAGATGATTAGAAACAGCTGCGCCTGCATCCAGTACCCTCAATTAAGCCTAAGGTCTTTGGGTGACCCAGCATGCTATCGGGAGCCAAAACCCCAAAAGACACCATTGATTTCGTTAGATGGCGGCTGGCTTTAGTGAGGAGCTATGAGGAACCATGAGGAGCTATGAGGAGCTATGAGGGACTCTGAGGAACCAAAAAGACCACAGAATCCGTTTTTTGCTTCTCACTTCGGCATGTCCGAGCTTTGGATGCACCGCCAGGATGCCCCGGCAAATCCAGTAAAGCTCGAGCCACACTCTCCCTCCGGCACGATCGATATTCTTTGGCAGCCCTCTTCACTGCAGTCTTCGTCAGAGCATATGTCTACGAAGCCTCCATCTGCATGGCGTAGCATGTCGCATGAAACGCGCCCATACAACAGGGGCGAAGCGGATTCCGGTTCTCCTCTTTTCTTCCCTGGCTTCTGCATTTGAGGTCGCAGGGCCAGACACTGCGCAGGACCAGGGGTGGGCACGACATGCCACAAACGCGCAGGTGGCCCGTCACAATCAGCAGACAGAAACTCCCGCACTTCAACCACTCGCTCGTCGAGAGCTTCAATTACTGAGCCCGTGTTGTTGGAATCCCCAGAATACACGTAGCTCTTAAAGGCGTCATAGAACAGCACGTAGGCACCCTGGAGCAACAAAGCACCCAGGAATGCAAGCACTTCCAAGCGAGGGAGGGCCATCGCTTGAGACTCTCAGCTGTTTGAAAATGGCGGCGGTGGGAGCCCAGGGTGCAGAGGCTGGCTGACAACAATGCAAGGGATGGTTCTTTGGACTCCTGTCGCTGGGGCATTGTGTTTTTCAGAGGACTGAAAAGTCAGAGTGCTACGGCAAAAAGGTTGTGTTAAGCCGTATATGGCGTATGTTGCACCTGAGCTGAGTCAGAAAGCTACGGGCATCCAAGATGTCCAAACAGTTGGGCAGCCAACGCAGGGCCTCCAAGCAATCAGCTCCGTACCTTCCATACCTGCCATACCTTCTTGGGCGAGACGTGGCGGGACCGGGTCAGTGTTCACCCACAAATGCCGCAACACAGCATGCCTCCTTTGAATATCATGGGAGCATCACGCACATCCACACTTGAGAGGCAGTATCGCACCACCTAACTCCACATTCTTGGAGTGCCCTACAACAGCGTAGACGTCGTTAACCCTGCAGCACTGCATACATAACTGCTTGAGCGTGCACTGAGCTTCTGTTTGCACGTCCCGCCCATTTCCAGGGGAGGCTATCCAGTGGTCAGCTGAGTCCAAAGTGGGGGACACTCACGCAGGGTCTTTGGACTTAGGCGTGCGCTTCAAATCGGCCATGAGATCTGCAATCTGCCTTTCGAGCTCCAGCTCGCGCAGTGTTTTGCCATCTTGCAACACCGTGCTTTCTGCATTGTGTCCCGGCGCTGAGCGGAGCTGCTTACGTAAAGTCTCACACTCCATCTCGGCATCCGTCGCGCGGTCCCTTGCAGCGTCCAATGCCTCTTGCATCTCCATGAGGCGTTGGGCCAGCTCTTCCGAATTGCCATCATCACTGCCTGGATCAGAGGACTGTCTTGACTGTCTTGGTCCAGATCTTGCGAGCTCCTTCTGCAGCGATTCGCACTCCATCTCAGCATCAGTGGCACGATCCCTGGCTCTCTCTAGCTGGTCTTGCAAGTCTCCCAGCTTCTCAAACAGGTGTGAATCGTCATCACCTTCGTTCTCTCCAGTTGAGCGTAGGCTTCGCACTTGCTCCAGTTGCTTACGTAACGCCTCGCACTCCATCTCGGCATCCGTCGTGCGGTCTCTTGCAGCTTCCAATGCCTCTTGCATCTCCATGAGGCGTTTGGCCAGCTCTTCCGAATTGCCATCATCACTGCCTGGATCAGAGGACTGTCTTGACTGTCTTTGTCCAGATCTTGCGAGCTCCTTCCGCAGCGATTCGCACTCCATCTCAGCATCAGTGGCACGATCCCTGGCTCTCTCTAGCTGGTCTTGCAAGTCTCCCAGCTTCTCAAACAGGTGTGAATCGTCATCACCTTCGTTCTCTCCAGTTGAGCGTAGGCTTCGCACTTGCTCCAGTTGCTTACGTAACGCCTCGCACTCCATCTCGGCATCCGTCGTGCGGTCTCTTGCAGCTTCCAATGCCTCTTGCATCTCCATGAGGCGTTGGGCCAGCTCTTCCGAATTGCCATCATCACTGCCTGGATCCGAGGACTGTCTTGACTGTCTTTGTCCAGATCTTGCGAGCTCCTTCCGCAGCGATTCGCACTCCATCTCAGCATCAGTGGCACGATCCCTGGCTCTCTCTAGCTGGTCTTGCAAGTCTCCCAGCTTCTCAAACAGGTGTGAATCGTCATCACCTTCGTTCTCTCCAGTTGAGCGTAGGCTTCGCACTTGCTCCAGTTGTTTACGTAAAGCCTCACACTCCATCTCGGCATCCGTCGTGCGGTCTCTTGCAGCGTCCAATGCCTCTTGCATTTCCATGAGGCGTTGGGCCAGCTCTTCCGAATTGCCATCATCACTGCCTGGATTAGAGGACTGTCTTGACTGTCTTTGTCCAGATCTTGCGAGCTCCTTCCGCAGCGATTCGCACTCCATCTCAGCATCAGTGGCACGATCCCTGGCTCTCTCTAGCTGGTCTTGCAAGTCTCCCAGCTTCTCAAACAGGTGTGAATCGTCATCACCTTCGTTCTCTCCAGTTGAGCGTAGGCTTCGCACTTGCTCCAGTTGCTTACGTAACGCCTCGCACTCCATCTCGGCATCCGTCGCGCGGTCCCTTGCAGCTTCCAATGCCTCTTGCATCTCCATGAGGCGTTGGGCCAGCTCTTCCGAATTGCCATCATCACTGCCTGGATCAGAGGACTGTCTTGACTGTCTTTGTCCAGATCTTGCGAGCTCCTTCCGCAGCGATTCGCACTCCATCTCAGCATCAGTTGCACGATCTGTTGCACTGCTCAGCTCGCTGCTCAGGTGCTCTACCAGCTGCTTCAGACGTGTCTGATCTTCCGCCGTTTGCCTCATGTCCGCCACTTCCAGCAGGAGCCTCCCGTTTCGGCTTTTGGCACGCTCGATCATCTGCTGCACCTCACGCTCCCGGTCCTGCGCCGAAGCGAGCTGGGACTTAAGCTGCCCGTTTTCCTCTTTAAGGACATTCAGCTGCGATTTCAAGGAGGAAATTTCCGGTCTGCTGGCTGCTTGTTCCCAGGCCGCGGAATGTTTGGAGCGGCCCAGCTCCAGAAGAGACTTGGCCATGCACTCCAGGGTCCAATCCTTCAGTTCCTTGTGATGTCGCCGCAGCAGGCCGAGCTGTTCCTCACGAGGCGCGCTGCGGGTTGATGCGGGCTGCTACTCTGCGATTTGTGCACTCAGGCCACCCATCAACATGGGGTTTTAGAGCCCGAATATAAACCCCAAATAGTAGGATTCCCGTTTAAGAAGGACCCCAACAAAGTACCCCGATTTCGAACATGCCTAGCAGTACCTTGCCCTGAGCACGCCGGCCCCGCTACCCGAACCAGACTTAGACTGAAGCATTGGAGCGAGATCACACGATATCACCCAAACAGACAACATTTCACCTGTCATACCGAATCCCATACCAAATATCTCCCCCGCAACTAGCAAGGTCCCTGCTAGAGCAGCTCGTGTGCGCCCAGCTCGTGAGGTCTTTGCACCAAGTCGCTTCAAGGCGTCCTCTGGTCTGACTTTGCTGCTTCTTCTTCGTCCAAGGGTCTGAGACAGTGTCTAACATCGGCGGGTGGATGGCCAGCTGCCGCCGGAGGCGCTGCGTGGCTTCCTAGAAGGGCGCAAGAACACTCTCACCCTTAGGACACCATGAATCTCACGATGGAACACCTTTCCTGGAGCTTTGCACCGTGAGCTCTGAATAGCTCTGAGGCACTGATGCAAACACCGTCAAGCCTGGGGGCCTTAAACTTACGTCCTGCCGCGCTGGTTCTTACTCAGAGCACCTTCTTCTTGAAGTTCTCAAAAACACAGCCTTTTCGGGCCTTTTGCCTTGTGTCTTGACGGCCACTGGTGACCACGAAAGTCGTGCCCAAAATTGTCCAAACTATTGCCCAGGTCCTGTGCTTGAATGATGTGCGTCTCCATGCCGTCCCAGGGGGTGGCCTCCTGATTTCAGCGCAAGAACGAGGCAGGGCATGCTCCAATCGGGGCTCCTGCCTTGAAACGGGTGCAAACATGCAGACCCTGGCCCTAGAACAATCCACGCCCCTGAGCCTTGCACAAGGTTCATGCTCTTCGTCCTGATACGACAAAGTTTGCATGGTGTCTGCGGAGACGGCGACCATTGCCCCTGCTAAGGCCAACCTTCTACTGTACAGATGAGGGATTCCGCGTGTTTTCGTGTTTGGATACGTCTGGCATCTGCTGGTAACACTTGGACCCCCCCTAAACCCCAAAAGCAAACTCCGACTTGAGACTGGGCGACGAAAGCGCGAAAGGAGGTGAAAGGAGGTGGAACAGGAGGGCGGAGTGGGAGAGTTTGGAGACCTGCGAAGCTTCTCCTTGGCCTGCCCTTTTGAATATTGTTTGGTTTTGCTTCGCTTTGTCTAGGTGCAGGAGGCGGCAAGAACCAAAAAGGAACGATTTGATAACAAAAGCAAAGGGGCAAAACAATTGTCCTGACGTAGGTGAGCTGCATTCAGGAAGCAAGAAAGACGTTCACAAATGCCCAGCCATGTTTGATGCCTGCACCCCCTAGATATTCGCGCGGGCATTAGAGGGGGGCAGGGGGGTGGGCGGGCGGAAGACGCTAGAATTTCAAGGGGAGGCGGGCCAACTATTGAACTATTGAACTATCATGCCGTTCAGGCCTTGGACTAGCATTTACTGTACCCGGCAAAGTTTTTGCAGAGGAATGTCACTACTGCATATGGGTGACACTCTTGCAGCTCTTGCAGATCAGTCCATGCTGTCCAGCACCACCTGGCTTGGATTCAGATGTGACGCTTTGCGAAAATGGTCTATTGTTTCATGTATTTCATGTATCGCCTCCGAGAGCACTGGCAAAAGCTTCTGGGAAAGCTGTTGGCATCGCGGCAGCATGAGCTCATCCTGGCACCGCAGCGCAGCCAGTGTAGCCTTCTTCTCCAGAAATCCGGGACAGTCCTCGGTGCAAGTCGCACCCTGTGCCCTTAACAGCAGCAGACCAGGCGTCTGTCATACTGTAACGGCGCAGTGCTAGAGAATGGTAGACACGCAGCCACAACGCAAACTCTACGAAGTGCTCTAGATCTCCAGCTACAGAGCCCAGAAGCTGTCTGGTGCTTTGTCCAATCTGCCTTCTGGCACTTGGAGCTGCAGTAGCACCTTTCTTTGCATAGGCCACATCTGAAGGAGGCACGCTTGCCACACATCCTCGGACCAGGGACATTAGCCACACTAGCCACTAGCCGTGGAGCCAAGAGGTACTGCAAAACAGACTACGGGATCGGGAACTGGCCCCAGTTCACCAAGCTGCTCGCAGAGGCCATGCGAAGGATCCAGGCGCGGGAAAATGGAGATAAATGCCATGGGATTCTTCTCATCGTTCCAGTTGCTTTCCCTGAACTGTATGTCAAGGCCTGTGGCAGGAGGGTAAGGCGAATGATTTGAGACGGTTTCAGGGTAGTCCTAGCTTCCTAGCTCTGCGCCTAAGGTCTCATAGCTGATGCCGACAGCTCTGAAGCGGCCACCACCGTACTTGTCCGAAGGCTCCCCGAGCATTAGGACCACCTGGGTAAAAGAGGGCATCAAGCTAAGAATAGCTCGAACTCCACCAAGTATCACAGTCTCTCAACACAGCAAAAAGAAAAAGAATAAGTGTGTTTATCCGTGTACCCCCCCCAAACCCTCCTTTCGCACTGCAGGCCTACCACTTCCATGGGCTGAAAAGACGCTTTCTCGGCCTTCTGGGCTCCTTCGCCCGTTACTTTCACATGGCCAGTTTCTCTAAATTATGGTCTGTTTTGGGGGTACCCTAAATGAGGATCCCAAAAGGGACCATATTTTAGAGAAGCGACCATATGTAGGCAAAGTCCAGGCTTTGGTCTTTTGCTTCGACTTCGGATCTGCTTGAAGGTCTCTCATTTTGAGGTTGATGGAGGCTGCACGTTTGGGTTTTTTGCGCTTGTGCCAGATGGACACGGTTTCGGGCTCGGGTTCCAGGACGATTAGAACGGAAACCATACAACACAGGAAATCGACACCCCCTTCCCCTCGTGAGGCCGAAGGTGCATCCTTGCTGTGCTGGGTCCACTGCAGGCCCTCCGGCAGTGGGCCAGCGCTGTACTGGCTGAAGCCGTCGCCCTCGTTGTACCTTTGGTCTTATGGCTTTGATGCGCCTAGGGAGCTTTTGCGAGCCCGCCGGCCCAACAAAAATCCTCCAACGTGATCTGACCGGCTGGTTTGGAAATTCGTTGCTTTCACAATTCTACTATTCAAACTGCCATGACAGGACCTTCATTCTTTCCAAAGTACAGGAAAACCACGTCCACACACGCCCGGCCGAGATCTGCTGCCATCAGGCGCACCTGTATGCCCAAAGCCTGGCATCGGTGCAGGGCGCAGGGAGCCGTCGCAAGACCTTCATCTACTAGATGGTCTACTCCTCCAGCACCTCGCATCAACTAAAAGCTCCAAGCTGAGTTCCCAGCCATTAGGGATCATTCTAGCAAACACGTCACAATTGTTAACAAGTGCACTCTCAACGACGTGCGGCCTTTGAGGTCAAGTACGCGCAGTCGGAGAACGACTTGAACTCCAACTCCTCTTGAACCGCATTTCCAGCGATGCTCTGCCACTATCAAAGGCACCAATATGACATCAGCATGAACAGCACAAACCGCAAAAACAAGAAGAACAACAACCGCACCAACGGCAACAACAGCAAGACGGAAACCGACATGAGCAGACAGCAGAAGACAGCACTTTCATGTCAACTCAAGCAGCATAACTAAGGCGTTTACTTTCGACTGCACACCACATCAACATGCGACAAACCGCCCGAACAAATGCAAAACTCCCCTGTGTTTTCTTGACCGAATTTCGATGTTGGTTCCAGGGTTGATGGTTCTTTGGATCAACCACAACTGTTTCCTGGCAGTTCGGCCCACTCATGGCTGCTTGACTCATCTTGACCAGCAACTGAGGCCATCGACGCTTGTTGCTTGCAACTTGGTTTTGGGGTAGTGCTGCGGCGCAGTTCTGGCAACGATGGAAGCAAGCCCGGCTTTTTCTCCATCTGCCAGTTGACACAAGTGAATCCGGCCCATTTGCACACTGGCCACTATCACTCAGTATCAATAGAGCGAGCTGTTGTTTTTGCCACACGTTTTAGTTCTGACATTCACGTCTGCCGAAAACATGCGCACACATGGGTCTGCGATACCATTTGAGACCAAAGAAACACCAACACGCATAAAAACATGAAACTACATAACACCATATATGCAGACGTGCCCAACAACAACCACAACAGACAACGACCAACAAACAACAAACAACCAGCAACCAACCAACAATAACAACCAGCCACCAGCCAACAACCAACAACACGTCACACACGCGCGCGCACACACACACACAGACACACACAAACAAACAAATCCGCAACAACGAACAACAATTGTCAAACAAACAAGCAAACAACGAAACGACAAGAACCAGCAGCAACCAACAAAATCCGACGAACATCAAACAAAACACAGCCAAGCACGACCAGGACGAACACGTCGATCACCACGACAACTGTGACGACCACAACGACCACAACGACCACCAAGACCACACCGACCACAACGCCCAACCACAACGAACACAACGACCACAACGACCACAACGACCACAACGACCACAACGACCAAAACGACCACAACGACCACAACGACCACAACGACAACAACGACCACAACGACCACAACGACCACAACGACCGCACCGTCCAAAAACCCCAGCATCTACAAAAAACATGAATCACAAGAAATGCTCTAAGCCTATAAGCTTCCTGCGTCTTCACAGCAAAACGTCAGCTGGTCAAACGTGTGACCCTGTCAATCGAAAACCAAGTGCGAGAAACGTCAACCCTCTCTCCTCCCGTGAGGAACCGCACACATCTTTGCTCAGATCAACCAACACCGCGCGGCAGGCGTCCTTCAAGGGCCGGCGCAAAAAACCAAGGGAAAGATGCTGGCCGTATGCCCGGCTAGCCCTCAGACCGACTGTAGCACACGTAGTCCTGTTCCAAGCCCAGAAGCTCGGAGGCCTCGAAATCGCCGACAGGTGCCATCGGGGTGCCAACAATCGGTCAAATCTGTACCTTCTTGGGTTCAATATTGGCCTTTTGAGTACCAGGGTTCCTGCAATGTCATGTGCTGCTGGGTTCAAGGTGCTGACGCCGGAGTACGTACTGCTTGTTGAGGTTGTGCTCCATGTGCCCAAGATCTTGAGATTCTCTGTCGGTAGAACCCCACGCCTGGTGCAACTGCCCTCCCTGGTGTCTATTTAAAAAGTACTGAAACTGTACTGTTAACTTTTCTCCTCGCGTCCTTTGCTCCTTGCGGGGGCGGGGGGGGGGGGGGGGCTTTGCCCTTGTGGAGGTTTCACGCGTCTTGCATCGAAATCTCGGACGCATGACCTCACCGAGGGGTTGATGGTAAGCTTCGCCGGGTTTATTCACCCATGAGTGTAGCATGTGGTTGTGTTGGAACAACACTGCCTCTCCTACTCAGATCTCTTCTTTCGTGTTCATGGAGCTCTCCTCATGGCTCGCTCATGCAGACACCCGAAAATGCTTCCATGACATCTGAGGTGCAACTTTGGTCCCCGTCACATGTCCTGTCAAGCGACGTGACACGTCTCGAATCCAGTCATGAGCAATCATTTCCCACCGTTTTGGGCTGAACAGAACTGTCGGACTAAACCAACCACGCCAGCTTTCAAGCAAACAGAGCAGCTGTGTGGCAACATCATATTCAGGCTTCCCTCCAGCATGTGAGCTTTGGCCTCTCCGCTGCTGCAAGGAGCTCGGACTCTTTGGCGACTAAGGGCATGAGGCTGCCTTTGGCTTTTAGAAAGGGAGCCATGTCTGCAAAAACGGACGCCTACAAACGAATGTGAAGTCGTGCCAGGCAGCACAGGATCGGCAGCGCAAAAGATTGCAAGCAGCCGGTGATGGCAAAAGTCAAGCCATAACCGAAGTGGTCTATGAGGACGCCGCCTCGAACCGTGAGACCAAGGAGTGGTCAGCATTCAGGGTTTCAGGGCCTCTCGGCTTGGGCGATTTGATTGCTTTAGTGAAAAGACTTATTCTGGATCATTCTGGCAAGGCTTTGGCTTGAATTCCAGAATACTCATGCAGAGAAGAGGGGCTCTGCATTTGGAGCAACTCGAACTGGCATCTTTCCAAAGGATACATGGACCGGATTTCACAAACCAAGGCGTCGAAAGCCTCCCTCAGTGCTTTCACTGATGGTTCTGCTGTTGCAGCCTGCCATTTCGACAACTCCCCCAGCCTATTGCGGCGCTGCCAGACCAACCTTGTATGATGGGTGCCAGATCTGCTCTGACATCAGGCCAATGGCTACCAAATCATCTCAAGACGGTTATGACAGGCGGTGACTGAAAAAGACCTCGAAGAATTTGGCAGATGGCCGCAAATCCCGAGATGGGCCGGGCATTCACTGAAGTGGGACGAGTAGCCCGTCGCTGCGATGGAGCTTAGGGCCTTCCACCGGCCACGCTGCGCCTTCGGGGTGTAGTCAGCCTCGCAAGACATTGCAGCGTCCCGCCAGAAGTCCTAGACAACCTCATTACTGTGTTTTTGCATGTGGAGGAACTGGCACTGCTGTTGCACTGCTTGCTGCCTCGCATCTGCACAGGAAAGACCCTGTGCTGCGGCCAAGTCTCAATGATGGATCCAAGTAAAGGGCTCGCGGACCACTGTGAACAGCAACGAAGGAGAAAAAGCGGCAGCATCACCTGGGCCAACAGTTCGGGTCGTCGGGCTTCATCGTGCACACGGACGGGCTTTGCACTCCGAAACTCCGGTTTCTGAGTACAAGTTGCTCCAGGCACAGTGTAGTACGGCTTCAATGCGCCCAGCAAAATTGTGCAAGTTATGCCCACAAAATAACCTCAGCTCAGGGGCGGGGCCTCCAATACAAGTAAAATGTTGGGTGCCATAAAACAATCGAAGATGACAGCCAAATGGTTAAATCGATAATCCCAACTTTGTCCCTCAACTCACAACTTGAGCTCTGATTGAGCTTGCCAGTGGTGCAAGCAGCAATACAATGCGTGACAACCCGCCCCGGCGAAGATAACGTTCTACAGCAGTTATGCCTTTTCAATGTCATGTGTTCTTTTTGGTGCCGGCTTTTGCCTGGCAGGCACCATGCGAGCCTTGCCAGTCAAACAGGTGTGTTGTGATGGGCTGCCGGGTGTCCACTCGCTGCACGGCTACAAAAACTGCACTAGATAACGCTCAAACAAACCGTTTAAGTCGTGCAACTCGAGCTCTTGCATGCTCGGAACTGGAATCTCATCCCTGCACGAGACCCAAACCCCCTCCCCCCTCCCCGCCTGTGGTTCATGGTCTGTGGTTCATGGTGGGTTTAGGGTTTGGGGAATCCTCTGGGGTTGGGCACTCCAGGGATTCACTGGGGATACTCTGTGTTTGGGCACTTTTTCGGAAACATCTTGAGACTGGGCACTCCAGGAATTCTAGGATTGGGCACTCCAAGGATACTCTCCCCTCTCTGGGCCCCCTACTGTGGGTGGACGAAATCTTGCACCGCTTGTGGACCATGCATCTGGCCAAAACCCCGCGCCACCTTTTTGACATTGGCTTTGGGTTTTGCGCTGTAAGTGCCAGAGGTGTTACTTGAAAGGTGGTGCAAGATTTCGTCCTCGCCATGGGCACAGGGCCTCTTATGCATCCCCGATAAACCCCATGAACGCTCGAAAGCCTGGACACTCTGGGACCCACTAACTCTTTCTCACATCTTTCCTCACAAAAATCGCGCAACTTTACCAGGCAATCCTTGAGGCACCACTGCTTTGATGGCTTACTCAGCACGCGAAGTTTGCGAACTCCTTCCTTCGAGGGTCTGCCCGGTTGACTTGTAGCTTGCTCTGTCGTTTTGTCCTCCAAACCTAGTACCCGCATTTGTTGGGAAACACAAGACGCCCATCCTGGAATTCTGAAACGCTTTTGAAGAACTGAGTCAGGCAAAACCAAGCAGCAGGGGATGATGACTTGGATGCGACCGGCGCATTTGGAGGCACGGGTTGAGACCAGTGTCGCTGCGACCGTCAGGGCTGACAAGGAAGCGAAAACCGCTTGCAGAACAGCTGGATTGATGTGTCCCTCCTGCTTGAAGAAGACGGGAAAAAACTTCACTGTCATCCCGGCCCCCAAGGAAAGAATCATTTCGTTCACGAACAAGACGAGGCGAACGCGACGTACTGAGATTAAACCGAAGCAGGATGTCTTCTGACTGCGGATGACCAGCTCACGAGCACCCTCCGAGTCGCCCATGAGCCGGTCTTGCAGATGCACCGCCTCGCTGCACTCGCCCAACGCGCGTCGGTCATCCATGAAGAAGCACGGTAAAATCGCCATCATGCCTCTGGTCATCTCAGGTCGCATGCAAGCTGCCAGCCAAAAATTGTGAGTGGAATGAACTATTATACGAGCTGAACGGAAAAGCAAGCAAAGGAGGGAGATTAACAACCGCCGTCTCCAACATTCAACGGCTCCTCGCTGATACTACAAGCTTTTGTATGGGTTAATCTAACAAGCACAACATCAACCATGGAGTCAGAGTAGTGCGCACAATTGCAACACGAACTTCGGTGCACATATATATGCGTGTGTATATATGTATATATATATATATGTATGCATGTGTATATGTATATGTATATGTATATGTATATGTATATGTATATGTATATGTATATGTATATGTATATGTATATGTATATGTATATGTATATGTATATGTATATGTATATGTATATGTATATGTATATGGATATGTATATGTATATGTATATGTGTATATGTATATGTATATGTATATGGATATGTATATGTATATGTATATGTATATGTATATGTACATGTATATGTATATGTATATGCACATATATACGCACACATATACATATATTTCTGTACATGCTTAGCCTCACAGTTCGGTCATGGTGGGAGATGTGTAATTAGTTTGATTAATGTAGTTGATTCATGCATCTCGTGTTTTCGATAACTGAATGAATTTCATGAGTTTAATTTCACAGGTTCGATGAATTTAGTTGATTTAATGAACTAGTTTTACTTATGCAAGTAATTTACACTACTGTGAATTTGGTTCCAAAGTAATATCAATTTATATAATTTCGCGCTCTAGCAATGACGCACACAGCAATTGCTCGAGCGATTGCTCCAACACAAGTAACCTGAACAATTTGCTCGAGATTGTGGATTGCGAGTAAATTTAGTAGCACGCCTATTCATTTTTATAGGGTTTCCATTTTATCTAGTTGAATTCATAGGATTCGTATGAATTTAAACGCCTACTAATTTTTATAGGATTCCCTGCGAAATGAATGATTAATACGAATCCAATCGAAGGAATAAGAATCCAATTAAAATCATTAGGAATCCGACGAAAAGAAAAAAGACCATTAAAAATAAATTGGATCCTCGTAAAACGAATAGGAATAATCAGACCTATAAAACCTCATAAGAATGCTGTTAAAATCAATAAGAACCCTGTTAAATTTCCAGGAGTTCTGTTTAAATCTATGAAAATTGGTAGGAACCCGATATAAACTCATAGGTATTAAAACCAAGAGGAAGCCGATTAATCTCAACAGGAACCCTATGAAAATTAATCGAGACTCTGCGCACATTCACAGGAATCCGATTAGAATGATGAGGAGTCCTTCTCTTTTTCTTGGGAACCAATAGGGCTCCTCTAAAAGTAATGTGGGCCCTGTTAAGAAAATGGACAGGAATCATCTCAGATTAATATGAAACCGAAAACTTATTTTAAAAAATAGGAAGAAGAATGCCATTAAAATTCCTGAGCATTAAATTTCTTGGAATCTTCTGAAAATGAATAAGAATCAATATGAATCCTATTAATTCATGTGTATTTTTAAAATAGGAACCCTATCAAAATTAATAGGAATCCCCTTAATGAATGAGAGCCCTATTGTTTTATTAACATGAACAAGAATCCTATTAAAAATTAATAGCCTAAATCCATAGAAATCAGACTATCATTCTTACACTAAACAAGACTCCCATTGATAAAAACACGAACACCATTAAGTTTAGTAGGAATCCCGTTACAAGTAAAACTACAAAGAATCCGATTATAATTACTTGGAATCTTATGAAATGAATAGGAATCACCAATAAGATCAATCGGCGCCCTTTTATATTCAATAGGAACCCGATTCCAATTCATAGGGTCCCTTTTTGAATGAATTTGAACCCCATTAAACTATGGCGAATCCGATTGAAAAAACTCGACTGCTATTAAAACTATTTGGAATGGTCTGAGTTTAGGGTTTAAGGTGTAGGATTCGACAGATAGGCCTCTGACCCGAGACCCTCAACCTGAAACCGACAATGGTTTGGGAGGTGTCTTCCCGGCGACTTCAACAGCTCGGAATTCTAATTCTCTGTGTTATCTCTCTATGTGAATTGAAATTCAAAGTGTTCTTGTTCCTCTCGTCCTATTTGAATAGGAAAACCATATTTTTATCTGGATTTTAATTGGAAAGTCTCTATTTTCTCGATATTTGAACATGAAAACCTCTCTCTTTTCTCTATACTCTCAAAGGAAAACATCTATTTTGTCCATATTTTGATATGAAAACCTCTGTTTTCTTGATATCTTAATCGGAAAACCTCTGTTTTCTCCATATTTTAATTATCAAGTATTTCATGAGGAAGACATGAGAGAGGAATACATGAGAAACAAATTCTCCATATTTCATAAGAGTACGTGCATTATCTCTATCTGTGACTCGGAAACAACAAGTACTTTTTTTCATGTTTGCCATACTCTCATAACACAGGCTCTATTTTCTCGATTCTTTGCTAAGAAGACGTTTCTATCTCTCTATATTTTTAATCGGAAAGTTCAACTTCCACTAAATTCTCTGAAATTCGTAGGAAAGCAATCACATATTCCTCTTTTGGTCAGGGGGGGTTTGGGGGTGCGCAGCCCCCCGATTTGCAAACACAATGCTCGCATCATGGGTTTGAAAGAGGACTCGAATGCTTTGAAGCAAGCTTGCCTGGCCAAAATAACAGGGGTTGGGGGGGGGGGGGCGCAGCCCCCCCTCGCATCAGGGGCTTGGAAAGGATTCGTATGCTTTGAAGCAAGCTTGCCCGGCCAAAGAAAGTGGGGCGCAATAAGAAATAATAATAAAGCGAAGGCCTGGCTAGGAGATTCCTGAAAATTCAAAACTTTAAAAACTATTAAAACTATCAATGCGATTAAAACTATAAAAACTATTAAAACTATTGAACGGAATTCTTAATAGTTTTAATGGGTTGGGAGGCTTTTTCAAAGTTCAAACTCTTGAAACTACTAAATCTATTAACAAGGCTTCGTCTTACTAGTTTTAATGGTTTGAGAAGTTTAAAAGTTTTAAAAATTCAGGAATCTGCCTGCCAGGCCTTTTCCTTTCTAATAGTTTTTAATTTTAATAGTTTGGGAGCCGTGTTAAAAGTTCAAACTATTAAAACTATTAGACCTATTCAAAAGAGTTTGTTTTAATAGTTTTGATAGTTGGGTGGGCATTTTTAAAGTTTAAACTATGAAACTTTTAATACAGAAAGGAGCCATGTCACATTATACATAGAGGTTCCTCTTACATATATATTTTTCTATATATAATATATAAATATAGTACAGGACCAAAGTCTCAGGAGCTGCCGTAGTTGATAGCGCGAGAGGTTTCCGCATAAGTTGTAAAAGGAAACCGACATGACAGGAACTTGAAGCCATCAGACCCAAACAGAGGTCCAAAAACAAGCCAGAAGCTTACCTTCCAAAACCACAAGCAATGTTTCCCAAGTCCCGAAACATCCATGGGTTTGGATTTTCTGGGACGAATGTTTGTTTTGTTGTTGATTTTAGCATGCTCGAAGTACTTTTGTTGGACGTATGGAACTTCCAAGAAACAAATTCAGCCAAACAACACTAGCAACCAAATGGACAGACCATCCTAACACCCTCCAAGTGGGCTCATGAAGAACAGCTACTGGAGTAATTACTGGGCTCGTCTTGAAGTGGGCCGATCAAGGGTGATCTGGAAGGTTTCTTTTTGGAGTGGACCCCGGTTTTCCATCTCGAGTGGAATCGCGAGTGCTGTCCAGACACAGATGATGACGCCAATGAAGATGACAATCTTCATCGAGCTTAGGGACCAGGTGTTGCCAGCGAATAGGAAAACCACTAACCCGACAAGCGGGCCGACAGACGAGGCAGTGCCGTACACCACGGCATTCGTGGTCTCCACCTGCGCGACTCCAGGCGAGGTGGTCAAGGAGTGCTATCGGCTTATGAGCCATGTAAGTGTACATCTTTTCAATCCTGGTTACGTCTGAGCGCCGGCCGGCAGGACATGAGTCGTCCATCAAGGCGACCAAGGGGCCATTCATTATGCCATCGCATATGCCTGCAAGTTGCTCGACTGCAGGCAAGAGACGGAACACTGAAACATCCGTGATGCAACTCCTGTCTTGTTGCGGTGTGTGTCCTAACCTATCTTTCGCGCACGTGCGCGTGGCACATCATGTTCCTCAGCTTGGCCACGCCTTGCAATCCCAGGGCCGCACAAAGGATCGAAAATGCTGTTGCGTTGTCGGCAGTCGCCAAACTAACCGCCACCATGAAGCAAACGCCAGCCAGCAGGGAAAGTGTGGCACCGATCCTCTTTCATCGAGAAACTGTCAAGCAAGCTTGAGACTTGCTGTGGATCTGACTCTAACGTCCTGATGCATAATCGTCTCGACCACTTGTCAGCAATGTACCCAACCGGCAAGGCAAAGATCAGATTGCTCAGGCCTCGTCGGGACGCTAAACGACTGTCAGCAGTCGGGAGTCGGGAGTGACACTAGCGGTCACTAGTGGTGCCTTGCAAGCCCTCTGCGAAGCCAACGTCAAAGTTGCTCCCACCGACCAAAAGGATGAAGGAAGGCAGCACGGTCAGCTGGAACAGCCCGGCGCCAGTGGAGTACAAACCTCGGCCAAGTCAGCTCGGCCCCCGGCTGTGCTCCGAATTTGTAGCTGTGGGTCTTGTGCGTGATGTCATGGGGTGCACGTGCGCACTTCAAACCACTTCTTCTCCACAGAACTCATTCCAAAACGCCCGCACAGAGATGTCAGGCGAGACGAAGATGCTGGAACAAAGTTCACTTTGGCCATGGATGCTGCAATCTACCCGGTAGTATTTCTGAGGTTGCCGCCTGTTGCCCAAAGGCCGCACAGGACATTGTAAGTCCATGGGCTGGCGGTCTCGGGTGTGGCAGCCATGGCCCCTTGCCAATGGCAATCGCAAAAGAATGTTTCTTGCGTGAAGTGGCTCTGCGAGGCCTGTCCATGTTTGTCGACTTCTCATGTTGTGATGGAACTGTGCTGGGCCTTGCGGCTGCAGGAGGAGGACCGTGGACGAACTCCCAACAAATCAACTGCTTGAAAACATGAATGACAGTGGATGACAGTGGATGACAGTGGTGACACGAGGATTGCACAAGAATGGGCCAGTTGTTTGCTTGCAACAAGCTCAATCATTGCAAAATGCAGAAAGCCATAATGACTGAGGCTGGAATGGTTTTCGTTTGCAGTCGTCAGCATGAAGAAGCAGTGTTGGGACTCTGTGGCTCACGAGGCAATGCCGTCCAAACAATCTGCGTGCTGTTTCACAGAAGCGGCTAGCCACAGCCACTGTTACCTATGCTCGCAAGAAACCTTCAACCAACTAGCTATTCGGTTCTTTCTACACAAGCCGCATGGTCTTCCACATCGTTTTCCCGCATGCTCACGAGACGAGATGCTGCGAGGAGTCCGCAAGCTAAGCCACAAGGGCTCATGACGGACACTGTTGGTCCTCTGTAGAGATTTGCATCCCAGAGGAAACCCACTAGAGCAAAAACTAAATTAAGAGTTTTTGAATTATGACCGGAGGTCGGACTCCAGACTCACACCGGCGTCTGGCTTCGGGGACGCCACTGAAGGAGCCAGCTCTTGCAGTTTGAGTCGAGACTGCGCCACCTCGGTTTTGCAAACACCAGCGATAAGCGGGGTCTCTTGCCCGTCCTTTCTGCGCCCTCTGAAAAGCACACTTCCATGCACTTCTGAGATGCCCAACTCCCAAGTCGTCTTGTACCAACCGGCAATTGGACCAAGTAACTGGGGCTTTGCCTGTGGGGCGCGGGGACGCTCGGCCCTTGCCTGCGGCTTGTCAATGCATCTGTGAAGTGTTGCTTTCAGTTTGGCGGTGCCTTCGATGTCAGACCAAGTTCCAGGCCACCTTCATCCATAGTGCTCCCAACTTGTGCACGTTTCAGGCCCCAAACCCTGCTCAAGGCTTGACATCATAAAACATTCGAAGACATTCCCCTAGACTCTGGCCTGCTCATGGATCAGCAGCAGATTCGGAAACTGGAAAAAATCGAACCGGGAAACGTAGAGTCAGAAACATTCGAAAACCGCGGATTCGGGAAACTGAAAACCGGAAACTGCAGATTCGGGAATCGCAAAGTTTTCTGAAAGCACCATTGACATGAACGTCATCTTCCCCCGCCCGTGCACCGCCAACAGTCCTGCGATTTCCTGAATCGGGTGATATCGCGCTTTCCTGCATCGCATGAAGCCAATTTCTTTGAACCGATTGGTTTCCTGAATCACGTGGTTTTCTGAATCGCGGTTTCCTGAATCGCGCAGGGCCAGTTTCCTGAATCGGGTAGTTTCCCGCAGTTTGCTGAGTGGAGTGTCCAGAATCCTGGTTTCCTGAATCGCATCCGGCCCCTGGCTCGCGCAGTCCAGTTTCTGAAGCGTCCGTTCCTGCGCGCGCCTGCACCAATTGGGGGTTTTACGAAAATAAGGGACCCCTAAAATAGACCCCAATAGTCGGGTTCCCTTATCATAAGGACCCCAATAAGGTCCCCTAATAACGGAAACAACCAATTCTCTTAAATCTTAGTCCAAGTGCCTGCGCCCAGCTCATGGCGCCGGATGGCCTTCGGGCCGTTGCCCTTGCTGCGGTCCTGAGACGTGCATTCTGGAAGCATGATGGGACACGCAAGGACACGCCGACAACATCCGACAAAACTGACATGCATTTGTGCACATTCATCTCCCCTAGTCCAGCACCTCAGGCCTTTCGCATAGGCGCATGATGCTGTTTCTTTTGAGCATGACTCTCATAAATTCTCATAATTATCAAATCAAGCCGACGGAGCCTCCCCTTCGTGCTTGGCCGAGCGTGTGGGCTGATTCCGGGGCGCGGTGCGCTTCGAAGGAGTTGGCATGTACCTAGCCAATCCACAACGGATACGGCAGGGTCATTCACTTCTGTCTGAGTGCTGGTCTCTCATAGCGCCGAGATACTTCGGATGGCCCTTTGCTGTTTCTTGACCCTTTGCAGTCTCTTCTTCAAGCAGCTCGCTGTTGCCGTTCAGCTGTCCTGCCAGATCACTTCAACTCGCATGGCTGAAGGACACTCGGACACGCCTGTCACACCAGCACCCCCCCCCCCTGTGTTACTTAGCTGAGGCCCTGGCCATCTGCTTTGATCTTCTCCCGCAGAAGCCGCGTCGCATGGATGTGCAGCTGCTGAAGCAGCGTCGAAGGAGCAGGCTGCACCTGCACCGCTTTGGAGGCTCGAGTTTGGCACCAGGGAGATAAGACGGTGCGTCCTAAGGCCATTCAATCGCTAGAGTTCATACAGCAGAGTGCATGATGTGAATGATGTGTTTGCAAGACTTTGGGCTGAATGATGTGTACGCGACACAGCATCGGGAACATAGCGACCCCGCCCACAATCAGCCTCCTCTGCCAATAGTTTCACAAGCAGAATCCGCATCTCACACGTTCACCCTGACCGGTGCTTCCCTGTGTGTGCCCAGGTCACATGGACGTGTCAGTTCCTTTTAAACTCGGCAGCATTCTAAGTATTCGAGTCAAGCCACAGCTGCTCCAGCTCCGTCGGAGGCATGTGCTTCCATGGACACAACCTTGGGACCAGGCTGCAACAGCACTCAGAACATAATGTGCCCAAGTCAGAGATCATGGACCTACAGCTAACCGACCATGTCCGATGCCAAACGTCGCTGTAGTCATATGTTTTAGATGCTTCGTATTTGCGGGTTTCTCTGTAGGCCTTGTCCTCCGGAGCGACGACCAGGTTGGCAGTGCCAGGGTGTGAAGACTCGGGGCTCGGACGAGGCCTGACGGCAATGCTGCCTCATTTGCCTCACAGCTGTGACCCGATCCACCTTAGGGGACTCAGTGACCCTGCAGATCCCTCCCAAGCAGGACCTCATTCGAGCACGAGGAGGTGTGGCACCTGCTTCAAACTCGGGGGTTTTGGGCCATACCAAGCTCAAGAACAACTCAAAATATCGAGATTGGCGGAGGCCCTCCTGCCAGACACTGCCCTGAACAGTCTGCGCCGAAAAAAGGTTCCGACAAGGGCTCTACAGACTCGGAAAAGAGGCGATGTGCAATGTGAGGCATCGGTTGAATAGCGTACGGACCGAGAAGAATGACTCAGGCAAATAACATGTTGAATACGGACGGCACCAAGGTATGCACGACACAAGTCAGTGACAGCTTTAGGCAAGATGCTTGTACATGAAGAAGAGCACACGACATCGAGGCAGCACTTTTCATGAGGACCGTTCAGCATGTCCTTGCATATCATCAAAGGCTACGCGGCGTGCAGTGCATAATGATGCCTCTTTTAGCGCATCACCGAAGCATTCCATGAGAACAGCCCCAAAGGAACAGAAGCTCTGCACAGACTCTATAAGGGAAGAAGCACCTTCCTCCCTTCCTGTGCCGTTTGGGGCCCTGACCAGCGAACATCATACACGAACCTATAAGCAATAACCACTGGACTGCCATCCCTACATAATCCCTATATAGCTAAAATCCTCCATTCTCGCCAAATTCCCCTTGTTCGTGCCAAGGCCCCAACAAGTGCCCCCGTTCCAGGGGTCGATCCCACAGGCTTCGAATACGCCCTGCCATGCAAAGAATTTGGGGCACGAAGCCCCAGACAAAGATTCCGTTTTCCGGAGGATGTTGCTGCTGCACCAATGAAGCCGCAAAGCAGTTGAAAGAACTCGAACATCCTGCTGCCACAAGGGTCCGTGCGTTTCGACTCAGACCACAAGCAACACAAATAGAGGGTGTATGCAATATGGGCCACCATGACATTGCATGCAGCATTACGGCTAGCCGCTTCGGAGCGACAGTCAGCATGATAGCTGTGGAGCAGCTTCCACAGGGTTGCAGCTCTCTCACACCCCGATCATCGGAAGAGGATCACATGCAAGCCTCGAGTCACCTGCGACTGACACATGCTCAAGTGCAACAACCCTTTAAAACATACCATTAATGTTCGCAGGAGGCCTGGATTGATTCCGTGCCTTTTCAGCAACTGGTGGACCAGTGCACCGGCCACGCCCTCACGACCAGGGAAGCAGCTCGACTGGTTATAGGCTTTTAGGTTGGATGTTCCATAGGGTTCCGGGCGGCTTGCGGCCTTGGGCGTCTGTGGCCTGCACTCATTCTGCGGGACGACGTCGCAAATCTTCGTTTCTGGCGTTGAACTTAAGATGTCAGGGCACAGGAAATGCTTTTCGAATTTCCCCCCAAGGCTGTTGCTTCCGGGCACCTGACATACCCAAGCTGAAAAGAAAAGAACGAGGTCCTGGGAAGCATGTTCCTACCGAAAGCATTTCGACGCCGTTATTGGAAAATGTACACTTCATGGATTGTCGACAGCCAGGACCTCAATGGATGCCTAGAGCGGGATTCACAAATGAACCCGCTCGAGTCCAATGTCTATGACGACATATGCCACTCTGCTAGTCTTTCGCGAGGCAGAAGCCGCTTGAATTTTCAAAGCTGGATATTGACACTGGGCTTAGACACCAGTTTCAAAGTGGGTAAATGCCATAGTAGGAATGTCAAGACAAGGTCTCTTAAACGATATTACCTGGCGGTTTGTCTGCAGCCTGCAAAAGAAATGCTGGCAAACTCGCTGCCTCAAGCTAGAGATTGTGGCAAAGGGTGCTGACGCTGCAGAAACGCTGTGCTTCTGTTCCTACAAAGTCGTCAGCGTTACTTCTGGCCCCAGGTCACAAGAGAACCATCGACACGAATTGCAGCAAAATCCGAGCCGTTGGCTTGGATCTGCTGCACACCCTGCAGCTCATCTTGGACAAGACTGCTGTCGCTGTCTCCCCAGGTCACAACAGTGCCATTGCCCAAAATGGCAGCAAAGGCAAACGGAGATGCTTGGATCTGCCGCACGTCCTTAAGCTGACCTTGGACGGCCCTGCTATTACCACCACGGCCATCATCGCCCCAGGTCACAACAGACCCATCGCCCAGAATGGCAGCAAAAGCGTCGCTGGTAGCTTGGATCTGACGCACGTCCTTGAGCTGGTCTGCCACATCGCTGCAGTCGCCACCGCTGCCTTCATCACCCCAGGTCACGACGGACCCATCGCCCAGAACGGCTGCAAATGCGAAGTCGGTAGCTTGGATCTGCTGCACGTCCTGCAGCCGATGTTGTGCGTCACTGCTGTCGCCGCCGCTGAAACAACGGCCCCAGGTCACAACGGACCCATCGCCCCGAATGGCAGCAAACGACACCAAACTTGCTTGGATCTGCCGCACGTCTTTAAGCTGATGCTGGACAGCACTGCTGTCACCACCACGGGCTGCATTGCCCCAGGTCACAACGGACCCATCGCGCAGAATGGCAGCAAAAGCCGACATGGTAGCTTGGATCTGCTGCACGCCCTTGAGCTCATTTTGGACAGTACTGCTGTCACCACCATTGTCAGTATCACCCCAGGTCACAACAGACCCATCACCGAGAACGGCAGCAAAAGCTGTGTTGTGGGCTTGGATCTGCCGCACGTCCTTCAACTGGTCTTGCACAGCACTGCTGTCTCCACCATGGTCAGTGGAACCCCACGTGACCACAGACCCGTCGCCCAGAATGGCAGCAAATGCTTCCTCAGATGCCTGGATCTGCTTCACGTCCATCAGCTGATGTTGCACACCACGACAGTCCGCAGCGCCCCAGGTCACAACAGACCCATCGCCCAGTATAGCAGCAACGCCCACCCCAGATGCTTGGATCTGTCGCACATGCTGCAGCTGCCGTCTGACAGCCCCCCCCCCACCCGGCCGGGTGCCAAGGATCGCAGCAAAAGCAGCAATGTTGGTGTGAACAATGCTGCTCATCTGCAAGGTGAGCACATCACCGCTCCGCAACCTAGACTCCCCAAGAGTGGCTGCTGAGTTCAGAATGCTTGCAGAAGAGTCCACGAGTCGGCCCCTGCCAACTTCCAGAGTCTTCTGTGCCCTGTTGTTGAACGAGCCTACCCACTCCTCCTCTTCTGCTTCGAGTGAAGCTGTCCTGCCACTTAGCAGGCTCACCTGAATGGTAAGGGGCATGGTGCTACGCAGGCAACCCTCACTCCGACAATGGTTCTCGCCTTGGGCCAATCGCCTCAGTGTTCAGGGCTTTAAGATTCATTCGCGCACGCCCGCGGTCGCAGCCCTATGAGTCTGTCTGATACATATGTACACTCCTCTTTGTGCTGTGCTCCCTGCCCGACATCCGAGACTTACGTATCAAAGAAATCACGAAGTCGTGTGGGCATCACCGTCGATGCGACTGGCTCTATGGAAAGAATTCAATATGGAACGCAAGCGCGACAGCATCACTTTGGAGCGAAGAAGAATTAGTCTGGAACACGAGCAGCATCATTTTGGACACGGACGTCAACTTAGAACACAGGCGGCGTCTTTTCGGCACGTTCCCGAATGACACTTTCCCGAGTTCCAAAACGACGTGCCCTGGTACTAGGTAAGGAAAGAATCCGGTTGGGATACCTCGGTTGGGTGGCGTGGCCAAGCAAGAACCCGGTTGAGATCTCTCAAGTTTGGTGGCCACTAGAGCAAGAACCCGGTTAGGATACCTCAAATTTGGTGGCCGCTAAGGAGAGAACCTGGTTGGGATACCTCAAGTTTGGTGGCCACAAAGGCAAGAACCGGGTTGAGAGTCCCCTGGGGAGCTATAGCTTCTTAACAAACAAAACTTTCAAAATTCCAGGTCCCGCCCTTCCCTTTGGGACATAGGGTCCTTGAGGTTCCACCCTCAGGGACCTAGAATTTTCAGAAGTTGTGTAGAAGTTAAGTCCCCTTCGCCCCCAGCCCCAAGACCTGGCACTTTAAGATTCGATATGTTTCTTATTTGGGGCTCTCGCCTGGGTCCGGAAACTTGAAATTCAACATGCAGGTCCCCGGGGCCTGCATTTTCAAGCGTTAGTTCAGGACCCTCCCCTATGGGGCCAGGAAGTCCATGGATTTTTCAAGACTTTGGCAGCAGCGAAATCCCTCTTCCATATGCACATGCGACATTTACAGTGTTTCTTTCTCAGGGGCCCGCTCACTTCCACCAGGCTTTGCCTGTTTGCGAAATCCCCTTAACTAGGGGCCCAAAAACCCACATAAACATAAGGATCGTGCTATTTGGGTATCAGGGCCCTATAGTGGGGATTCCGAAAACCCTGTTTGTAGGATCCTCATGTTTCTGTAGGTTTCTCGGGCCCCTATTAGCATGTCTTCTTCTTCTAAAATCGACTCTTCCAACCAATTTGTGCAGTCTTTTCTTCCGAGCAGATTTTGCCAGCCGTTCTTGCACTCGTCGCCCCTGTTCCACCCTCCCTCTTTTCATAAAAAATGACTTGTCTTGCCCTACCCCCAGCCCCCTCTACCCTGCCCTCTACCCCCACCCCACACCCCCCCCCCCCCCCCCCCCCCCCCCCCCCCCCCCCCCTCCCCCCCCCCCCCCCCCCCCCCTCCCCTGTGCCACCCTACCCCACTCCGCCTCCCCCTTGAAGTGCCGTTGAATACTGCTGAACTCCCTGAAACTCCGAAGAAGCGGTGGCAGGCGCGCGATGCCAAAGGCGCCAGGTTCTGGCACGCAGTGCTTGCTTTGAGGGAGATTGCTTTCGGGGCCTTGTCGGACTAGATTTAGGCGGAGATGGCGGAGCCTCTCTCGGGACAGAGTATCTTTTTAAACGGCTTCACAACGACGCAGTTCAAAAACACTCCAGATCTCGACCTCAACTCGGGTCGCATGCTGGTCTCCCTACGCGAGGTGCGGGTTTGGGGTTTAGCCCTGGCAATTTGCCTAAATGGCACCTCTACTATAATCCTTGGCTCCGAAGTTTATATCCCGACTCTTTGAGTCTGAGGAGACAAAGCCCTTCCCCAACTTCCCCCCGTGTGGTCCTGGCGGCTTCATCGCTGCATCCGGCAGCGGCCCGACGATGGCCTGCTCAAGCCCCTAAACCCTAAACCCTAAACCCTAAGCCCCTTTTTCTTAGGGCCGAGATGGGCAGAGGGTGGACCTGCCTGGCGCTTCAGGGCCCGGGGTCTTGCGCTGTTTACGGCTCTGGCCTTGACTGGGAGCAACACTGCCACGCTTACACCTCAGACGCCTGTGGTCAAAGGCTTCAAACTCTTCCAAGCCCTGTGGCAAAGCCCTGAGAACTCAAGGCCGGACCGACCTCCTCCTCCTCCTCATCTTCACCCTCATTCATGGAGGTTGGAGACGGCCTGTGAAGCGAGCGCTCGGGCTTTGGCAAAAGCCACACGCTCGCCAGACGTGTGAAGCATTGTCAAAACCGAGTCCAGCTTGCACCGACCACTAAGACCAGACAAGCACGAGCTTGCGATCAGGACGCTGGGCTCTCCAGTTTGTCTGCCCCAAGCGAACTCTTTGCTTAGGATAGCAGGGTTTGAAGAACTTCTGCGGTTGGCATGGACCGCCCCGCAATTCACACCAGACCCCAGGAATCTCTCTTCCCAAATATCAGCGCTCTCCTGGCGGTCGGCACGGGCACGTCCACTGGCGAAGACCTGACGGAGATGAAGCTTGGGGCTTTGCGTGTGATACTTGATTGCTCGTTGGTGTTGTGTGGTCGCGTGGTTGTGTGGTCGCGTGGTCGTGTGGCTATGCAGTTGCGTGGTTGGGTGGCTGTGTGGTCGTCGATAGCGGTGCCGGTTTGAATTCAGATGGGTTCAGCTTTTCACGACTCAGTCGTCAAAGAGCAGATGCGTAACCCCACCAACACCAAAGAGAACAGCACAAGTCCATCTCTACAGTACGATAGAGGTAGCGCCCAAACATGTTCCGGCTGCAACTGATTTACTCATCACGTAAGGCCAACCAGGACCTCAAGGAGGCGAGCTGGGCCCAACACTCCTAGGGACTATTTCAGCTAACAGCTTGGTTGGGGTCTTAGCATTCTCAGGACGGTGTTCGGGAGGCCTGCAGACAGCATGAACGCCTGGGTCCCGTGCTGGACTACTGACGTGGCAGGCCGGGAGTGTGTCAGGGTCTTCTCGATGCTGCTGGTCTTCGCCTGGAAGAGACACGATGTGCCCGATTGCACGAGGCTTGCCGCCACAGATGTTTTACATGTTGGCACTTCAGAAAATCAACATGCATAAGCCTCAATACTATCACGGACTTGGCGGCATTTTAGAAGTACTCAAAGGCGATGTCGTGTTGGTGCTTCTTTCATGGGACTTCCGAGCATTGGGCCGAAGGGCTCCCAGCGCAGTCACTCGTGCTTCTACGTGTTGCCAGAATGCCTTGCTATCTTGCTAAGAACTTAGGCGGGCTTTGATGCTGTTGATGCCACTGACGCCACTTTGGCGCCGCTGAGCTTACTTGGCGCCGTGGACCCTCTTTGCTCGTAAATCCGTGCTGTCACGTCTCCATGTCTTCGCCAGCTAAACGATGGCTTTTCTTGAATGTTAAAGCATGAAATCTGGGCCCTCCATGGCCCCAAAAGAGACTCGGATGCCCCCTGCTGTCACAATCCGCATCTTCAGCACACACTGGAAGAGCATCATCCCTGCACCCCCTAAACCCCAAGGGCAGGATGGCCGAGGTCGCCACTGTGGCGACCGGGGGTGCCGTTACAGTCTCACCTCGTGCACAGGTGCGGGTCATGAAGATTTGGGGGACGCAGGTTAAAGCCGACAAGTCTGGACTGAAACTTCAACAGCTTATGGAAATTGATCGGATTCTGGTGGTAAGGATTCCCTTCTAATGTTGCCTTCATCCTCGCAGGGCGTGGTCGGTGACGGCACGTCCGTCGGCACTGGCATCTCCGTTGGGGAGCGCTGCTGACCTTCACCACAGCGCTACGGCATTAAGCGGGGCAGAACTTGGTGCTCTCCACGTTTGCATGTGTTGGCACCAGAAATGGAGATCTCTGCAACCGGAAAGCTGAAGCCGCCAAAGCCTCCAGAAGCCCCAAGCCGCATGCCCTTAAACTCCGAGCGCAGGCCTGATGCTAGAGCCGAACTGTCCAGGGCCTTTTGCCGTTAGAGTTGGAGAACGACGGGTGGTTCCCGGCTACAATTGCGGATCTCGGCTTGAAGGTCAACATCGGCGACTTGGGCTTTCAGGGCTTGGTGTAGGCAGGTAGAACTTGCGCTCTTGCACGGCTTCCGGGGCCAAGGCGCTAGGTTTGGGTGAACGGATGCGCAAGAACGAGTATACTTGTAGGTTAGAATGGATGTAACATGGCTCAGTTGCAGCCGATTCAGATTGGAAAGCGGCCCGGAAAGTAAAGCTGAAACAGCACGGCACAAGTTCTGTCATGATGCCCTGTTGCGACTTACCACTTTCTTTTCTTAGGCTATCACCTCAACAACAGGACGATTGCCAAATGGGTCAGACATGGGACACACTCACAGAAAATAAACAAACTCGCAAATACAGCCCTAACGTCTAACGGAAGAAGAACAAAAGCAAAGAAAAACACCAAAGACAAAGAGTGACCAGATACCCCTCACTCACAGGCACTCACACACCCACACACACACACTGCAAACAGATAGAGAGAGAGAGAGAGAGAGAGAGAGAGAGAGAGAGAGAGAGAGAGAGCCTCCCACACAGCCAGCCAGCCACCCACCCACCCAACCAACCACCCAACCACCCACACCACCCAACCAACCACCCAACCACCCAACCGCCCTCCCGCCCGCTCATCTGCCCGTCCGCCCCCGCTCACCCCACCCCACCCGCCCGCCGGCCCGCTCGCACTCGCACCGTGTTCTCTGCATCAGGCTAGCGGCCAGCTTTCGAAGACCCGACCAGATCTAAGTTGGGGCTGTGGCGAACTTCTGACATAACCCAGAGAATTGAGGCGGGATGAAGGTTCGCAGCTCGGATGTATCTTATGAGAATTTGAGTTGCCAGAAAGTATCAGCACGAAAGAATAGAATAGCACGAAAGCGTATATTCCCGACGCTTATGGACCTCGTGGCTTAAGAGCTTTGGCCACACTTCGACAATGCTTTCTAAGCCTCTGTCCCCTCATCGCAGTACGGCTCGCAAGATTTCCTGAACTCCGAATCTCTACAGACCTTTTGACCAGCTCGATGAGCCCCAAGTCTCAGCCAAGCTACCGAGGAACCGAGCATTCCGGACTCCACAGCCTGTTCAGAGGATGAGGAGACGTGCGTCTCTGCATTCTGTGGTAAGGGTTCATGATAATGAAGGGCCGAAACTCGCGACACGCATGATGCAGGTGCAGCATTTTTTGTTCAATGGGTTCCTGCGCGCGGATTCGACCAGTTCACGCTCTCGCCATGGGAGATGTTTAGGGTATGGGCCGCAGGGCCGGCAGGCTTCGGGCTTTGGAATTTTGGGGTCACGTTCAGAGTTTCGTCTAGGGTTTAGGACCCTTCAAGCCCTAGCGGGGAAAGTGTCTTTGGAGCCTTAACGACAGTTCATTCGATGGTACTAGTTGCAGCCAAGCCCTATGGACTATTCCACGCGCTTGTCACCCTCGACCTTGTAAACGCTCCGAGGTCCAGGCCGCAACCGCTGGGAGTTTGGGCGTCGGGCGCCACACCTGGGAGAAGGCGGAGAAACTTTGGCAGACTGTCAGCCTGAAGCGTACGGCTTTTGTTTTGGGATGTCATCATGATGTGTTTCTCTCTTGCATGTTCAAGTTTAAGAACAATGCTTGGAACAGAGAACCCCGCACAGAATCATGCCAATGCCCATGGTAACCCGCGGAACCTCAAATCCAGATGATTTCGCCAGCGCCCGTCATTCGTTTAGGCTGGAATGTTCGCAGTATTGAATTCATGTTCATGTTTTCTTCTTTGGAGGGAGGGGGGGGGGCCTTGAGGAAGCCCCGACATGTAAGGCAACTCACTTTTAAATCTTTGAAACTTGTTCCTTCCAAGTGCCTTTGGCGCTACATAATGTAGGCATGCTATGATTGTCTCAAGTCTCTTGCCGCCGTGTGACAGAGTCAGGCTCTGGAATCCCTCCAGCCCGAAACCCTTAAAGACCTTCAGTGGAAAAGCACTCCCTACAAACACGCCAAAGATCAAAGCCCGATAAGCCCTCCATCCCCAGCCAACGCACTCGAAGATTCAGCCCCCTGCCGGTGGCTCTGTCGGTGACGGTCGCTCTGTGGGCACCGGCAACTCGCTGGGCGACTGCGTGGCGGCCTCTCTATTCTCAAGCTGAAGGAGTTCACACCTGCATTGTTTCTTGCAAGCCTTGTAAACTAGTAACTAGCCTCAGTCTTTGCTACTGTTAAGACAATGGAATGGAACTACTGACAGCTTACTAGAAAAAAAAGGTCCCAGCCTGACGGAGCTTACAGCTGCCTTGTTTAGGCAGGCCTTCCTTCATGACTAGAAACGAGAAACCGGGGTCTGCACCGCATGCTCTAGTGTTGCAGACTTGTTTCTGCTTGACCCAGCCCTTTCTACTGAATGCAATGGAACTACTTGCAGCCTGCGACTGTTGTGGCAACAGCCGTTCCAACAAGCAGTCGTCGAACTACACTTATGTCGTGAAAATCTGGGCTTCGTAAGACAAGCGTGTCCACATCAGGACAAAGCTAGCCACCTGGCTGCGAGTAGTTGTAGGATCTGATGGGCTCCATCTCATGTCGAGGGGGCGAAGGCGGTGCCACCACTACGACGATTCATGCCGATCCTCGCTGAGTAGCAGTAATACCCGAGGAGGGGTGAGGAAGAAGAGGAAAGTGCGCGGTAACTGCTTTCGCGCATGCCCCAAGCGCCCTCCGTGTTCCGTTCGTCTTGAAGGTTCATGACGCGCCCCAAGTTGACCCTAAAGTCCTCGACCTCCCGCAGTGAAGTCAAGGTGTCCCCAGCCGAGGTCCGAACCGAGGAGGACATGCCCACTGCCGACGAAAACTCCTGAAGCTGCTGGACCCCCGTCCTGAACCCCAAGCCCCAAGCTGCTTTCGGAAATCTCAAGACACCTCCTTTCGAAAGCAAGACCACCAAGCTCCCAACACAAGGACCACGAGAAGTAGCCCAAAGCCCTGGAAGCCCTGGAAGCCCTGAAATCCCCAAACCGTCCGAACTAGCAGAAGCCTGCCACCAGCTGATCCTTCAACCTGACAAGGATTGAGGCCGTTGCGTGCCCCAGGCCTTGCACGGGCACCTGGTAGGATCCGGTGGGGGGCAGGCTTGAAGGAAGCTGGGTCTTGCCAGGCCTCGGGGCTTCGACTTGGGATTTGGGATTTAGGGGTATACCCGTACGTACGTGGTGGTGCCGAGCCGCCCCTCCAGCCCTTCCCTGCCTCCGGTGCATGTGCGATGTCGCGAGAGGTTGGGGAAGGCCTCTCTGTTGGGACCAGCACGGCCACTTCCTGGCGGTGCTTCCAGGCTTGAAGGTCTTTAAGGGCTTCGGGGTTCGCAGCAGACACCCAAACGACTGGTTGTTAACCACAACCTACACGGACAGAAATGGTTTTTAGAGATCTTGGGTTTGTGGCCTTCGGTCACACTGCTGACGACAGCCCCGCCGCAGGGCTGCAGGTTCTTATCAGCTGGACTCCAACAACTTTGGCAAGCACCTACTCCCTAATCCCGTTACGTTCGAGTAGCAAAGCATCTGGCCACTGGGCACAAACTCTGAACGCAACATCTATGTGTGCACTTGTGCACATGCAGATTTCCTCGGGGAAACCTCAGCAGCCACAGTGACGGCGACAAACCCTTTGATCTCACCACCTCTTGAGATCCAGGTTCAACCTCCCCTTTCCACCCTCCAGACAACAACTCGTGATTGTTGCTCTATGCAATCTTATTCTGCTGCTATCTTGACAAGAACCGGCCTGTTCAGTTGAATTCAGAATGTCAAATTCACTATTTGAGTCTGTGGCTACTTTCACTGCGTTCTTCCTTAACCATCTCAGAGTGGCTGCCATGCAAGCGAGCCGCCGAGAGGCACGTGTAACTAAAGAGAAAGCCCTCTAACCCTCAAGGCCCCTATGCAAGATCGCCAACCCCAATCCCCCGGAAAAGCTCGAGACAAACCCCTATCGCCAACCCAAATCCCGACCATGACTATGCCACACGGCAGCTCATTTCTTGGGGAGAACATTGAATACTTGCTGGCGAGGCGGTGGGCGAGGACCTCGTGATGCGCTTCCTCTGCCTGGTCCACAGTTCGAGAGCTGGGGTGTTGCTCTTGGGGTTTTGTGTTTGGAGAGCATAAGAAGGTAACCGTCTGAGCTCAGGCAGTTATGTCCGTGAGATTAACAGGCACGTCTGAAGAGACCAACGTGTGTTGAAAACTCGCAGAAACCAGAATGATCTCAAACCCAAAAGCCTAAACTCTAAACCCCAAACCCTATATCGAAACCCAACATCCTGAGCCCGGATTGGAACTGGGCGCAGAATACTCAGGAATTTGGATTTCGGGATTAGAGCAGAACAACTGCAAGCTTTAAAATCAGAAACGTCACGCTCTCAGTTTTACAGTACTAGTGGATCTGCATTCGATGCGGGGTCTGGCAAGCCTGGCTGATTCTTTCCTGCTGACCAATGGCAAGAAAGAGCAACTTCTAGCCATCCCAACCACCTCCAACCCTCAGGACCTATCGCTGTAGATCTCGGGGTTCGGAGATGCTAGAAATGAAGCACTGGGCCGCTTCAGCCCTCAATTCGTTCAACATCACGAAAGCAAGTGCCAAACCTTACTCCCCACTCCAAGCCCGAGAGCAACGTACAGCTGTGATCCCGGCTTCGTTCCCTGTGCTGCCTGCGGTTGGCCGCGTTCGGCGCTGAAGCTTTGAAGCTTGGGCTCAGGTTCTGGGAGGTTCAGAGGTTGCTGGGCATGCTTCCTCAAGACAGGGCGGGTGGTTGGGAGTTGGTGGGTTGGCTTCGCGGTTCCCTCACCAGGCATACTGAGGCCTATGCAGTGACCACTCATACGACCGGGACACAGGGCCAACACTACAACCCTGCCAGGAGGGCAGGTCAAAAAAATGTTGCCTTCGTTGTTCATGGTTTGGGCCTCTTCAGTTCAGCATGCCATGTAAGTAATGGACTCTTCACTGTCCGATGTTATTCCTCATTGTAGTTCAGGGAATGTCGCCGCCGATTCCCCTACAAGTCTGCACCCTCACCTCGCCGCGCTTGTGGCCGCACTTCCGGCAGAAGATCGAGTCCTCCGCGTACACGTTGCCGCAGGCCGGGCAGTTGGCCATCTGCCAGAGATTGATGGCTTGGGGTTCGGAGTTTAGGGTTGTAGGATCCAGGCTCTGAGACTAGAAGGGCTCTTGGAGCTTCGGCATTCGGGGTTCAAGACGCTCTGAAGCTGGATTCTGAGCCGACCATCTGCGCCTCGTCGTCCAAGGGTACCGGCATCTCCTGAGCTCAACCCGAAATCCCGATGTCTCCATGGATGCAGATGTTCGACAAGTCTCCCTCCCAGTCACGCTCCATCGATTGCCCAACCACAAGCCTTTAAAAGCCACGCACGGCACCCAGATAACAAAGAGTGCATGTAAAACTGCCCGAATTGTTTTGAAGCTGCCCATGTCGCATGCTGCTGAGGCCGCTGCAGAAGGCGACCCCGCCACCGACCTCTGCAGTGCAATATTCTCCGAGGGCCAGGGGAGGGAAGGAGCTTAGTTGGGCTGTAACATCTCTGTCTGCCTGCACAAAAAAACTTTCTACATGAAGCATTCATATACCTAGCCATGAAGCTGCACAGTAAGCTTCCGGCGACGGTATCGCAGACTCCGGCATGGGAGGTGGGAAATCTGCATCTGGGGGCCTTGGCAGGAAAGCTTGCAGAGTCTCGGCCTGCACGCAGTTTCGGTGGTGGGGGGGTTTTTCTGCCGGACTTCGGGCTCGAGGTTTGGAGGAGTCTGAGAAGATTAAGAGACCAGGATTGACAGTGTACACAGCATTTGCACAGTTAACCCTGTTCCCCAGCATTCCCAAGTCCCCAAGCAATGACCTCGCCCTACGACAACACGCCAACGAACAGTGCTCCCCTTTTCTTGGCAGCAGACACTCTCAACATCTCTCAACGCCTACCCACCAAAAGCCAGGGCTATCCCGCTCAACCCACGAATAAAGCTATCGAGATCCCTCCGGTTCCCCCCTCAATTGAGTGATTGCACTGGCTCTCGCGTGAGAGAGCACTGAACCCCGACGGTTCCTCCACATCTTGGATCTCGGTCCCCAGCGCTTCCTGCACCAGTGCCGTCGGGGCCGTAGGAGGCGGGGCAGTCGTGATGAGCTCCTCCCAGGGCTGCCGTTTGTTGCATGCGGTGGGGCTCCCATCCATGCCCTGTGATAGTCAATGAAGACATCCTATGAGTTTTAGTAGACAATAGTTTAAGGAAGGCCCCTCGCTTCGTATCAACAAGCTTACGGTTGGTGAGTTCGACTTCTGCTTGAAGGACGGCCTTGTGAGAGGGTATGTACATCAGATTCTTCACATTTTCATGAGCTGCATTGGGCTGTTCGTGGCGCCGTCTAGGTCTGCTGGTGTGGCTCAGGCAGGGCTTTCGTGCTTATGTTGGGGCGTGGGCTTCGGTTGGCTTTAGAACTTTAGAGGTTGCGATTAAAGTCCGCAGGCTCTCAAGCCCGCTGGCCTCGCCAGTCACAGCTGGCCCTGCCGACCTCCACAGCAAGGTCGCTGCGAGAAACTTTGCGCAGCTCCGAACAGAAAGCCCGAATCCGAGGTTCTTTGACCTTCTCACCCACAACCACCCAAGAACTCCATCATCATCTAACTCTAAGTGACACAGCTGTATAGCCGGAGTGACCCCGAAGAATAACACGCAATAACACCGGAAAGCAAACGTTCTTGACGGTTTCAACCTAGTTCCTGACACTTCGAGGTCAGGCATGACAGTGAAACACGGCAAGCCTTACTCCGACTGCACTGTGTCCGCTGTATGCTATGCAGCAGCGTCGCCGGGCCGGGGCTTTGGGGGCTAGGGGCTCCAAGAAAACGGGGAACGCCCTGCCGCCAGCAACAATCCCAAACGCTGATAAATCCCAACTTGAAAGCCCTATACGCCCTAGGCTCAAAGGCTCCAAATGCCAAGCGTGCAGGCTGTGGGACGTCGGCCCTCACCCTGACTTCAAACTCACGCCCCAACTTCCGCCGACTATGCCGAGCGCTGAGCGTGGGGGAGGGCAGTTCTGTCGGAACCTCGGTCAAGCTTCTGGGCACAGGGCTCGCAGCTCATGCATGTTACTCAGAAACCACCGATATCAAGAAAGCATCGCGGCATGGCCACGCGGGGACAAGTTTCCGACAGCAATAAGAGCAAGAAAAGCAGAAATATGAAGAACGGGAAAGGAAGGATGAAGGGGTCCAGGGAGAAAAGTACTTCCATGACGAAGCATACCCCTAAACAATGAAGCAGCTCGAGCTGCTCATGATTGTTCATCTCTTTTACCTCCCTTGCCAGGATGCGAGGATCGAGAAACATTTGCCTCTTCGGATGTCCTTTCCTTTTGCCCCTTCCTCTTCTGCCCATTCTTCAATCTTCCCGTTTGTGAGAAGACAATCCCATGCTCTTTTTGTTTCGGGTGCAAGGGGTTGTGTTCCCTTGCATCCCCCGCCCCTACACCCTTTAGCTTCAGCTCTCGCCTTCTTGACAAAAGTTGCAGACGGCATGGAATGCCTGCCCCTCTTAGAAAGGAGATGGGAGGTAAAGCCCCTTTCCTAAAGGTGAAGACAAAGGGAAGCTGGAGGAAGACATTGAAGATGGGAATTGGAGAAACTCCTGTTTCACTTCGAAAAGCCCACCGGCAGATGGACAGCGTTGCAGCATCTCTCCAGCCGTAGTTACCGTAGTTTGTGGCTGGCTGGATCACTGCAAAACGAAGAGGGCAAACTGCAAGGTCGAACCTGTCTGAGAGAGTCTGGGCCTCCCAGAGGCAGGTGACGGTGGGCGCAACCCCCCACGATCCATGGCTGGTTAGCAAGATGTCGTAACTTCTTCACTCTCTCACGCTCACATGTTTGCCCAAGGCGTGTCAGAGGACAACTCACTTTGGGACACTCTATACCAGGCCCGGCGGTCAGGCAAACTCACACTCGAAACAACCCTCGCTCATTGCTGGGACTTCCTGCCGGCATGTCGGTGGGTGAGGGCACTATGCCAGAATCCGACCTGGCATCGCGACTGTCGCTGCGGGTGCTGAGGTGTCCACCTTCAGGACTTCAGGTTGTTTTGAGGGCTATTGGGCTTTTTGGCTCTTCAGGGTGCTGCAGGCGTGGGTCGCTACCATCTCCAAGGCGGGGCGATTGGTATGCCTTGAACGAACTGGCCGCCCAAAGCTTAAAAATAGACTCAACCCTAGCATCCTGGTTGCATAAAGCGCCCATACCAAACCCCGCATCCTCAGAGCCGCTCCTGAAAGCGTGAGGACCCTTCCAAGCGTTGTTGTTTTCTTTACGCCCTTTAGCAGCCCTACATCTAACCTTACTCGCAAGCTGTCGCTTCTTCGCGCTAACAAGAAACGATCTCACCCCTGAGCACCATGTGTTCTGCGAATCCCAAAACCCGAACCAACCACAGCCCCCAGCGATTTTGGGCGATGTTGAGGCAGCTGCATGAAGACGCTGGATCCGGCCGCTGCCGATGCCTGTGGCACGCCGGGAACCTCGGGCCCAGCTCCCGTCCCACAACCAACCATCTTGAACCCACGGCATGGTACTTGCAAAAACCTTGCCTAAGTCACCTCCGTGACCACGCATGTACGCGGCTCGGCTTTTTTGTGGGACTAATCTCGCTTCTCCTTCTATATGGAAGATAAGTAGGGATATCTTGTGCCACAGTACAAAGAAGTAGAAACACTTCACACCGCAATTCTTTCTATTCTGCGTGTTTGCTCGTTTGGCTGATTTCTTGCTTGCTTGCTTGCTCGCTCCATGTATGGTGATTTCAAAGAACTTGCTCTGCCAACAGTTTTAACTTGTAGCTTCCTGGCAATTGGTTCCATCTCAGGTCTCGAAGACGTGGTTGCTACAGGAACTATCGACTTCTCATTTCGAGATTGCGCGCGGGGTTCAGGGAACAAGGTCAACAGGTCAACACCGCTGCAGACAAATTGACTCTGAAGCTCCAAATCATGAGTGAGTCACCTCACGTTTCGTTGACCCTAAACCCTGAAACTTGCAACCCGAAAGAAGGCTGGGCTCCATTGCATTCGTCTCTGCAGTCTCATCCTCCGAATGCGCAGCGACCCCAGCACGCGCCTGTGCACATGATGAACAGTTTGCAGTGGGTTTCTTGAAGTTTCTTGAATTCTAGGGCTTTGCAACGTGGCCAAGTGTGCCCGGCCCTGCCATCTACGACGACTTGTTGCAAGCAGCGTCAAGTCCCCGCAGCATGCTCGGTGTGCTCCACCGCTGGATTCTCACCTCCTCAGGTGAACGTCCTTCTTTTCAAGCTTCTGCTGGACCAAACTTGAATAGTCCACTGGTAAGCTCAGAATCTTCTCTAACACCTTCTGGGTAGCTGGGTAGCCTGCAAGCCTGCACCTCCCAGCCCGTCCGGGCGCCTCAAATTTGGGGGCCACCAGTGTCTGCGTAGGCCTCAGCATGCCGACAACTTGGGGGAGGTGTTGGGGTTACAGGCTCAGTTCCCAAGCTAGAGGACTTGGGCAACTAGACGTTTCCATTCCTTTTGGCCTCGGCTCATTTCGAGATAATGGGGCCGCGGGGTTTTGTGCAATCAGCTGCGGCCAAAGGCCCTTGTATCCGGAATCGGAAGCCTGGGAGCCTGGGAGCTGAACCTGAGTTTCAGCGTCTGAGGCCTCTGCAAAGTCCCAACCTGCTCGACGATGGTGTCCGCCTGCTTGCCGGGGGGGGGGGGGGGGGAGGTCGGATCTCGCTTGGTGATGTGCTGCCTCTCTCTCGCTGTCACAACCCGAAGGGTATATAGCATGTAGGGATCGGGGCTTGGAGAGCGACTACTGGCACGCGAGAGTGCAAGGAGTTCACTTTGGGGTTTAGGGTTCAGAGTATAGGGTTTAGGGTGTTTAGGGTTTAGGGATGTTTAGGGTTTAGGGTTTAGGGTTTAGGGTTTAGGGTTTCGGGTTTCGGGTTTCGGGTTTAGGGTTTCGGGTTTAGTAGGTTTAGGCCCCCCACAATGTTGAACAGCCTGCTATCGACTCTGACCCCAAGCAGCTTCGAGATCCATGAAGCAAGAAGTACCATCCCCCCAAGCCCCCAGCATCCCTGCAATCTGCGAAGCATCCAGACAAAAATTGAACCATTCCAGGAATCTACATCCCTTCAGGAGCTGGCAATACTTGAGCGCGCAAGACTATCGAAAGCAGTCCTCCAACAAAGGAGCCCTACAATGTGCCAGAGCAAGAACCTTGGCATACCAAGACGCTTCTACCCTCCCCTCGGCACGAAGCCCTAAACCCTTCAAGTAGCCTGCGCAAGCCTCAACTCAAAAAAAGCGCCTCGTCCTCCGAGCGCAGGGAGGTTGGCGAAGGCACGTCGGTTGGCACAGGCATGTCCTGCGAGGAGGCAACTCGATGGAAGAGAACCAAGCGACTCGCAAGCAATGGGCCCTTGTGCAGAGTGCTTCGACCGTTTGGGACCGCCCGTGCACCTCAGGCAGCTCCGTCGGTGTTCGTTCAGGAGCGGACTCTGACCTCAGGGTCAATTCGGATCTAGGATGGTCCAGAGTCCCGGGTCAAGAGGAAGGCTCGGGGTTCTTAAGCTCGAGCTCGCAAACGACTTTGCCAACAACCCTGGCGGACGAAGTGCAGTAAGAAGCTGCTGCTACGCGGTGCTGAGCCACCTGAATCGCTGCACACGCGACGCCGAATCCCTGCGCTCACCTCCTCTGCCTGCAAGCGCCTTCGAGATCCTTTTCAAGGCCAAAGCCCCTGCGCCCCAAGATGTATGCCAAGAACCCCCCAAAGCCCTGTTTTGCGTGGGAATTGGTGGGTTCCGAGGAGCTATGACCCCGAAGCCCCAACCTCGGAGGCGCTTGAAACCAAAGTCCGTGAAGTGCTCGGGCACTGGGGGTTGCTTCAAGGGTCAAGAAGACCCGAAGAGCTGCAAACTCCAAAGGGTCTAGGGCTTATAGGGGGCGACCCTCAACCCGAAAGCAATGGAGTTTAGGGTGATCCGCAACTCAGGCAGATGCCAGGCACTGTCTGCCAGCGCAGACTCTTGCAGTGCTGGCACCTGCGCCCGGCCCGTTGGCAGATGCTGAAAGTTGAAAGATGTCTTCAAGCAAGCACCCCCAAAATTCCCTAAACCCTAAACCCTAAACCCTAAACCCAAAAAAAAACTTGAACCATTGGTGGGGCTCGAAACCCTTCACCTTGACTCGGTGGCCCTCTGCCGTCTAAGCCTGAGGGATGCCTACTGTAAAGCCGGTGCAGCCGGTGAGCCTTCAATCCTTTCATTTTGGGATCCTATAAAACCCCCCTCCACCTAGGCTGAACCCTTCACCCAAAACAAGGCCTACATGAAGCTTAGTTGGGGTGCGGGGGCCTTTCAATGAAGCAATCTTCACAAACCTTCAAGATCCCTTCCCAGCAACATAGAAGCCCCGCTACAGTTCTGTGACTAGGCTAGAAAGTTTGCTGCTTCGTTACGTTGGGGCAGCCTCGAAAGTAGTTTCCACAATTGCCCGCTTCACTGCTTCCGCTTCACTGCTTTAGCCGGTGAAGTTGCACGTGAGCTGCAGGCTTCTTTAAGTGCTTGGGAAGGTAACTGCTGGGGCAACTGCGGGATTCAGTGCCAAGCAAGCTCTGCGCACTGGTCAGACCAATTTGGGACGACCACCGGCACCTATTACCGGCCGACAACTCCCCCCCGCCCCACCATACACAGAGCATGGTTGAACAATAGTCACGTTCCAGACTTTTTTGGGGCTATCAACGAGCCCGAAAAATTGCAGTTGCCTCTTGCGCATAGTCTCCTACACTCCTCAAACCCCCCCGTCCCCCCGTACCCCCCCCCCCCCACATAGCAACGGTTGGCTTGAGCCTAGACACGCCCTGTCATGAACCACTAAAATGTGCCTCAAGTGCTAAAAGCATCGAACAAGCCGGACACTTGGAACTCGGGCCCAACCTCAGCATCGCCTGCTCCCAATGCCTGGCGCACACGTGCGCAGCGCTTGTCTACCGCAAACTGTTGCTTCTTTTACCCTGTTGGCTTCCCACATTTACTGCTCGGATGACAACAAGTTCTTGCTGGTTGGTTCCAGAACAGCAACATCAGCCAAGACCCCAAGGACAAAAGGACAAAAGGGCACACCACTAAAGAGCCCTGCTGAAAAACGCCAGAGCGGGCTGTCTCACTTCTGTCACGACTTCAAGTGGGCTGGTACCTAACAGAGGAGCCTCTCAACACCCCAGCCACAAGTTCTTCATCAGAATCGGGCATTCAGATATCGCTTGTGTTGGGGCTTCGCGCAATCTGACTCGAGCCCTGATCTAACTTCCTACATGCAACGAAGCGCTGTCCACTGCTGAACTCCCTGAAGCTGCGATGAAGCCGTGGCAGGCGCGCGATGCCAAAGGCGCCGGGTTCTGGCATGCAGTGCTTGCTTTGAGTAGCTTGCTTTGGCGGACGTTTGGGGCTTTGTTGGACTAGATTTGGGCGGAACCTCTTGGGACAGATTATCATTGTAAACTGCTTCACAAAGACTCAGTTCCAAAAATACTCCAGAGATCTCGACCTCAACCCTAACTCGAGCGGCACTCGAGCCTCCCTATGGGATGTGAACCTTATTTTCGGCTTCTCCTTCCTCTTCGCCCCGAATAAAGGATCCCAACTCTTGGGAGCTTCCCCAACTTCCCCTCGCGTGGTCCTGGCGGCTTCATCGCCGCATCCGGCAGCGGCCCGACGATGGCCTGCTCGGCTCTTCTCGGGGGCCGAGATGCGCTGGGAGGGCGCTTGGAAGGGGCTGCGCAGGGCCCAGAGTCTTTGCGCTGTTGAGAGGGTTTGAGCGGACCAAAGTTCACAACGAGTTCGCAAGGAGTTGCGGCTCGCGGCCAAGGGCCCCTCACCCAGATGCCGGATGGTCCTTTCACGGACGTAGATTGCCACGGCCGTGGGGGGTGAATCTGGAGCCTGCACCTGAACCACTCGTCTCCTGGGGCTTCAATCGTCAACACCCTGGCAGGGCAGAACCCTAAACCCTAAACCCCAAACCCTGGCGCGGACCGACCTCCTCCTCATCCTCACCCTCGTTCATGGAGGTTGGAGACGGCCTGCGGGTTGAAGCACGAAGGGGTACAAGGCTGGGTGCAGGCTGTAGACTAGTTGTAGGGTCCAAGGCTTCAGGTTTAGGGTTTAGGGTTTTGGGTTTTGGATTTAGGGTTTAGGGTTTAGGGTTTAGATGTGCTTTTTTGTGTCTGGGAACTTTAGGATTCGTCTGAGAGATTAGGCTTCGGGCGCAAGGTCCCAAAATTCACAAACCCTAGAAAAGCTACAGATCCTCCTGAAGACCAATCTGCCATGGTCCGCCCGCTCTCCTGGCGGTCGGCACAGGCAAGTCTACAGGCGAAGACCTGGCGGAGATGAAGCTTAGAGCTTGCGGGTTGGCGGGGGAGTGTAGGTTTTTGGCTTCTGCACTAGGAGGGCGAGTACTTATAGGCGTTTGCAGCCGCATTACAACAAAGGAGTTTGGCTTTTTGGCATTGGAAGGGCTCGAAGAGTACACGTACACATGATGCTCTGACTTGGGTTGTGCTTTGCGGTAAGGCTTGAGGGTTTGACGATGTCTAGCGTTGCGTGGGTTCCGCTGCTCACGACTCAGTAGGGGAAGACAGTGAATCCAAGAGTTAAGGAAAATTAACTCTGAAGTTAATTGACCGGCATCGGGCCGGCTCGACGCCCCTTAGGTCCAGCACAATTAACTCTCGATTTAATTGCCTGTTAACGTCGCGCGACGTAGCATGCCATGCCGGCAAGCTGCTCAAAGAAAACAATTAAATCAGGATTTAATTGTTTCTGCTAGACGACCCCAACCCGCGGAAACAATTAAATCACGATTTAATTGTTCCCCCCTACCTTTCAACAATTAAATCACGATGTAGTTGTTCCCCCTAGAGTAATAATAATAATAGTAATAATAATAATAGTAATAGTAAGAATAATAATAATAATAATAGTAATAGTCATAATGATAGTAATAAGAATAATAATCGTAATAGTAATAATTATGATAATAGTAAGTAACAATAAGAAGAAGAATAATAATCGTAGCAAAAATAAGAGTAATAAGAGTAATAGTAATAGTAATAGTAATAGTAATAGCAATAGTAATAGGAAAATAAGAAGAATAATAAGAAGAAGAAGAATAATGATAGTAAGAATGATAATCATAGGAATAGTAATAATAATAGTAAGAGTAATAATAATACTAATAGTAATCGTAATAATAAGACTAATAGTAATAATAGTAATAATGCGACAAATCGTAAGAGGAATAATAATACTAATAGTAATTGAAATAATAAGACTAATAGTAATAGTAGTAATCATAGTGCAATTAAATCATGATTTAATGGTGCAAATACCAATTAGCACAAGTCTTTGCTATACCATTAACTCACGATTTAATTGTCTTCCAGTCAAACGCAAAGAAACACAATTAAATCACGATTTAGTTGTGTTTTTGTAGGGGCAAGGTATGTCGAGGTAGGTCAAAACCCAACCCAGAAGCAACAATTAAATCAGGATTTAACTTTTTTCAACTTCTGGATTCATGGGTTTTCCTCAGTCGGGAGTTGAGCCCATGACTATTCAGGCTGCCAGGCGCGCGCGCAAGGTTTGGGGTTTGACGACTTTGGATGGGAAGCCGAAGGATACACCACCGAGCCCTTAGTCCTAAACTGATCCGTTGCAACCTCGTGAAACTTGGAGCCGTCGACCCTTCACACCAAAGAGGAGGGCAGGAGCCGACCCTCAAAAGACAAGGCCGACAGAGACAGGCAACCCTGATGAGGAGAGACTAGGAACAGCAGGGTCTCACAAACACAAAAGAATCTGAGGTCCAAGGTTAACAAAATCTTGATGGCATGTGTTTTGGTGTGTTCGGAGGTCTTAAGTCTGCAAGCCACATGAACCCCTAAACCCTAACCCCTAACCCCTAACCCCTAAACCCTAAACCCTAAACCCTAAACCCTAAACCCTAACCGCCTGGGCCCCCTGCTGGACTACAGACGTTGTGGGCCAGGAGTGCGTCACTGTCCTCTCAATGCGGCTTGCTTTCGCCTGGAGAGTCTCGAGAATCATGTGCACCATTGTGGGGTTTAGGGTTTAGGGTTTAGGGTTTAGGGTTTAGGGTTTAGGGTTTAGGGTTTAGGGTTTAGGGTTTAGGGTTTAGGGTTTAGGGTTTAGGGTTTAGGGTTTAGGGTTTAGGGTTTAGGGTTTAGGGTTTAGGGTTTAGGCGTATGGTTTATTGAAAAGCATCACCACTTCTGATTTTTTAACAAGATACACACATATGGACAAGCAACAAGAGCAGCTTCTTAGATGCTTCCGACCAGTGACCCCTACAACCGCGCACCGGCCTTCGGCTCAACCAGGGTCTGCGTGGGCCTGGAAAGGGGGCTCCAAGATTTGAGGGGTTTAGGGTTTAGGGTTTTAGGGTTTAGGGTTTTAGGGTTTAGGGTTTAGGGTTTTAGGGTTTAGGGTTTAGGGGGCCGTAGGGTTCAGGGAATGGAGGTTAAGGGTTTGAGTTGAGGGTGTCTGGCCCGTTGAAGGCTGCAGCGCTTCGACATTCAAAATTCTGGGAAGGGCTACTCCCACAGCAGGGTGATGTTCGAAAAGTTCAGTTCCATGACAACAGCATGAGCATTTGAACTTCGGAGGCTCGGCCACCAGAAAGCACCCGGGCATGGTTGAATCTAATCATCTTGGGCTTCTGGGAGTTGAGACTCTGGGACCGAGGACTTCAGGGCTTGCCCTTAGCCCGAACCCACCCACACTTCATCAACGGAAGAAGAACCTCTGGCCCATGGGCCTGGGGCGATGAGAGGCTCTGGTTTCTGGGGCTGAGGCAGTGTCATGATGTCCTCTGCCATGGTCTCTGCCTCACGGCAGCGGCACATGTTTTCGAACAGTTGCAGCTTTTGGTGACAGCTGGAGTCAGACACGACATTGGGGAGGCTTGCGCGGACGTGCTCACTTTCAATTGCCTGCTATAATATAGCCCAGCAGACATCTTGAGTATCGTCCACGCTGCTGTACTCAGCGTCCGCGCCAAAGTTGGCATTGTCCCTAGAACACTTGCAAGCGCTTGACGGCTCACAAGCTCTGACCGCATGTGCTATGTCGGCTCCGACCAAACTCTATGCCACAGTCATTTTGGAGAGCGAAGGAAGCATGGAAAGGAAAGAAGCAGACAGAAAATCTGGTTCCCTAGACCTAAACCTACAAAGCCCCATCAGCCTCCTGCGCCGCCCCCAGCGACGTCGGGGAGGGTACTTCGGTGGGCACTGGCATAGCCTTGGGAGCACTTCGCTGGGGTCCGAAGGGGACAGTGGGACTCAGTCTTAGGGGCACTTGGGGTGCAAAGCTTGACCTCAGGCTGGCAAACAAGCTCCGCTGCCTCTGCACGGCTGGGCCCTCTTGATGTCACTCTTGGGTAGACAAGAAGAAGGTTCAGCTTGTCCCTGCACTTCCGTCCGCTCAAATGCCTGGGTGAGAATGGCAGCTGCTTAACTTCCGAAGAAGAAAACTAGGACCTCTCTCGACCGTAAGTCATTACCATAAGTCGTTAAGCACCTACACTGTCCTGAGGCTGCTGCTGGCAGCTCAGTGGGTGTCGGCTCGGGGGCGGATTGCGACCTCGATGCCGGCGTCTTTGGTGCTCTTCGGTGCTTGCAGGGTCTCAGGGCTTCAACAGCGAGAACAACGAAAACCGGACCTGATCATGAGGTTCGGGCCAAGCGCTTGCATCGATTGCCGAGTCGTACAATGCCGGCACCTTTCTTGGACTCAGTGACAGAACCTCAGCCCTGATCCGTAGACTGAGCCTATTGTATATACATCGTGTACACATGCGGGGGCATACAATGAGGACAATACAACCGGTTCCAGCACTTGTTCTTATGCCTTCTCACAACGCCCGCATCGACGGAATCAAGCATGATGGACCTCTACGCTAGGATTCGGAAGCCGAAGTTTAGCGCGCTGACGATTTTGGGTCGTTCTGGACCTCAAGGTCTTGACTTAAACTCCCGGTGCCTCGCCCTCCGGCGCTTCTTCCTCCGACTCCTGGCGCTTGAAGGGAACTGGCTCTGCCCCGAGTGCCAAGCCAAGGTCCCCTGTTTTCGTAAACCCCCATGTATAGCACCCTAAACCCTAAACCCTAAACCCTAAACCCTAAACCCTAAACCCTAAACCCTAAACCCTAAACCCTAAACCCTAAACCCTAAACCCTAAACCCCATATCCTAAAGCCCCGGAGTCGCTAAGAAGCCCTAGAACTCGACAAGGCCCCTCCAAAGCTTCAAAGGCTCGACTTGACGGGATGCAGATTCTGGCTGATTCATGGGCTGCGGAACCCAGAGACTCCAAAACCCCTTGATTGAGGAATATACCTTAAATTATAATAGGAACCCTAATATGATTTAAGGTATATTCCTTAATTAAGGGGTTTTGGAGTCTCTGGGAATTGTCGGTGTGTTTCCATTTGCTTTCCGGAAAGCCCGAACCCGGCAAGCAAGGACGAAGCGTGACAGGCCAGCCACCGGAGAGGTGACGACGAAGGGTTCTGGCACAAAAATAGCAAGGGTGAGGGTGAGGTGAGGGCCAGTGCTGCGACTACATGCATGCCATTTAAGGAATGGAGATTTTCAAGCTGAGGGGTTAAGAGGGTGTTGTCCACGGTACGTACACAACGCCAGAAACCCAAACCCTGAACCCAAACACAAAACTCCAAACCCTGAACCCTAAACCCTGAACCCCAATTCTTAAGTCAACCTGGTGGATCTTCTGCCAGCGCAGCATCGGGCCGCAGACCTGCGATGGCCTTGTGTGCGTGGTTTAACGCTTGGGGCTTTGGAGCCTTTGGGGTGTATGGCTGTTAAGCTGAAAAGCATGGAAGCATGGGGGTAGCAGGGTCTTCTCAGCTAGGGCCTAGGGACTTGATCGGACCTTTTGGGGATTCGTTGGGGCTCAGGAAAGGAACCACGGCTCACGTCTCACACATGGTCAGGCGTTCCCCATCCCCCCCCCCGCCCCCACGACCTGTGCGGTCCCATGGGGCGTGGACGGGCTGGGCGTGAACTCTGTGGGGTGTGGAATCTAGATCTACAAATTGTCACGCCATTGGGAGCTGGACTGTCTCCTGACACCGCACTGCGGTGTGTGAAGCCGAATTATAGTTTGCCACTAGCGTGAAGCCCATCGCCCTTCAATCAAGCTGCGCGAACACGAAGAAGCATAGGCCGTGCAGGGCTTCGAGGATTAGGGGCCCTGGGCCTGAAAGAGATGTTTCCAACAGCCTAGGGCCTAGAATCTGAAAACTACCTGACTGCCTCTTCGTCATCCCCGGCGCCACCCATGGAGGTGGGGGAGGGCCTGTGGATCAGGAGGCTTCGGGGTTCAGGGCACGGGGGTTGAGAAGATCACAGTTCCGTACTCCAAACAGCCAAACCCAGAGCAAGCTATACGGCTGAATACGGCTTAGGCTCCGTGGGATATCAGGGCATGCGAGATGATGGGGGTGAAGGTCTTAGAGGTTGTAAGTCTATATATATATATATATATATATATATATATATATAGATAGATAGATAGATAGACATATATAGGTATATATATATATATATATCCCCCTCAAACAATCCCAGTTGACCCGCCGCTCCCCGAAAAACCTGTAGGTCTGAAGGCCCGCGCCGCTAGGCTTACAATAATGTCAAAACGATATTACCTGAATCCTTGTTGAGTTATAGCACAAAAATGACACGCCGCATCATAACTCCTGCCGCACATACAAATGTACACATATGTCATCTACATATATGAATACGTAGATCCCGCCCCAGAACCAACCCGGCGTGCAGCTTCCACAGCGACAGACCATGGCTCAGAACAAAAACGTGTCCTGGCCAAACACAGAACGTCAGGCTATCTCAGAGTCGCTGCTAGCTGGTCTGGCGGAGCCCCACCACTCAAGGCTCTGAGCCTCGCTGTGGGCACAGGAACATCGGCGGGAGACGACCTGCTTTCTTGGGTTGGATTGGACCGATGCGGAAGGTCACTGCAAGACGATGGCAGGATCCGGATCAGCGCAAAGCCTAACCGCAGGACCTCGTAACCCTTGATTCCTCTGCGAGTGTCTTAGTATGTTCGGAGGGCCTATATGAAGTAGGGTTGATATTTCAAAAACAGCAATATACACCCTGTTTCATATAGGTCTGCAGGCAACATGAACGCCCGGGCCCCGTGCTGGACTACTGACGTCGCGGGCCGCGAGTGCGTCACCGTCTTCTCGATGCTGCTCGTTTTCGCCTGGAGCTATGGTCTCGAGGCTTAAGATCAACTAATATAGGGTCGGAATAATCCGCCGAGGCCTCGGGCCGCAGGTGTATAGGTTGTGAGGAAGCCCCCTTTCCCCCCCCCCCCCCCCCCCCTCTACCCCCCCCCCCGTACCCCCCCCCCCGTACCCCCCGTACCCCCCCGTACCCCCCTCCCCCCGTACCCCCCGTAACCCCCGTACCCCCCGTACCCCCCGTCCCCCCTACCCCCCCCCCCCTCCCCTTAGGGTTTAGGGTGCGGAGCTGCAGTTTGTATTAAAGAAAAGAGTTGGTGTAGAAGGATTAAGGGTCAATGTACCCGGTACTATTTTTGGCTCAAGATCGGGCCATGCGCCTAGTGAAAGAAGGGTGCTTGGTGTTTTGGGTTGGTTTGTTGTTGCTTGGTCCAGGGGATCAAGGGCTTCTGTTGGGGTTGACTGTTTTGTTCCCTGTCCTCCTTCGGTTGCCCCCCGTAGGTTATGAGCCCAAGTTAGGTTCCCTGCGTTTTGTGTTTCGGCTTTAGGGTGGTAGCTTGAAGCAATGGCCACCAATTGGTTACAGACTGGTACGGCATCATCAAGCTCCAATGTGGGCGATCAAGGTGAAGGTGGTGTCAAAAGGTCTGCAACGGGTCAAAAAGTGGTTCCCAATGCGGAAGCTCTGGTTGATGCTGGTGGTAAGCGCGGCGAAGAGAAGCCGGTGGTGGAAGGACTGGAAGACCAGATGGAAGTAGCTTTGCTACGCCTTCTGAGCAAACATGGGCTTTGTCTTCGAGCTGCGGAACCTGCTGAATCAACGGGAGCGTCAAAAACAAGCTCCTCTACATCAAAGATGGTGGAGCAAGAGTGCCAGACAGAGCTGGTTGGGGATGTTATCCCTGTTCCCAAGCGAGCTCGCAATAAAGTGAGCTTCGCGACTGAAAGTGGTGATCTGTCGACAGGTGAAGCGGAGGAAACTGCGCCTGTTGCTGCGACAAAAGGCAGTATCCTCTTTACTGGGGACGCAGAAGGAGTCGTTCCTGTTGCTATGGTGATGAGTGAAGGAGAAATCCTGGAATTGGAAGCAGCGAGAATACGGCAGGAGTCAGAGGAAGACTTAGATGCTGCTGGGGGAGGCAAATTGTCTCAAGCTGCTGACTTTTCGATCATCGACTGTGATGGGAAGACGTGGGAGCGCCATTTTCATGAAGATGGAAGAGAGTATCTTTACTGCTTGGACACTGGAGATACCCAATGGGTGTTGCCTACGAAGACTGGAATGGCTGGAAACAGCGAGGTGTCAGGTGTTGGAATGGGCATTGTCCCTGTGGAAGATGAGCCAGCACCGGGCACTCCCACACCGTCTTCCAGGGCACAGCAGAGTAGCTTGGAAAGTGTGAACAGCGGTGTAAATAGTGTAAGTGAAAAGGATTTTTCCTCTACTATCGGGGATAGCGGTCTTAGGGGTGGTGGTGACGCCCAGACCTCGGGTTCTCCTGAAGAGGAAGGAACTTCTGGAAACCAAGCAAACATCGCTGGAGAACATCTGGATCGGGAAGAAACGGAAGCGCTTTCTGAGGGTGTGGCAGCGGTGGAATCGGTGGGTCCA